ACATGTAACTACATGTCAAATAGAAGGCGAGTAAAGTTTCCTGTGTTAGAAAAGAAAGTCTCAACATAAAACTGCCTATCCATTTTTCATCCTGTAAATTACATTTTAATTTTTTTCTTTTTTTAAATATCTATTATTTTTTTAAAACTATAAAAATAAAATCAATAAGTCAAGGTAAAATAAAGGAGTTTTCTTTGCCTTCACAATATTTGATACCACTATGTTCATATGTATATGATTTAAGAGGGTACGCCTTTTAAGAAGTGATTCACTTATCCGGACGATTCATTTATCCGGATGATTTCGTTGGGGACGGAGGCGTCCGGATTAACGAGGCGCCACTGTATAAAGTTCATTTCCGCTGCTCTTTTATAAAATGTCCATGACAACTTAGTTAAGATATATAATTTACATGTCAAGAAATATTTACAAGGTGGATTTTGAAAAAAAAAACATTCTCTGAATTTCTTTTTATTAAAATGTTTATTTTTTTAACTTTCTTACATGGTCAATGTCAAGAATAAAATTTCAAGATACCGAGCACTATAGTAATTTATTAACATGCATGTACAGATTTGTTTTGATTTTTATAAAATGTCACAAAATTATTATTCCAAGAAATTTCTCGCATATTTTCTTTTAAATTAAAGCCATATATGGCATATCTGAGCTAAAAATATTAATACGAGATTGTGTGTAGATATACATGAGATATGTTATGTACGTTCAAATTAAACTTAAAATTCACCGATTTTGAACTCGAATAACCTCACCTTTCTATAGATAAATTGACATTAATCTTTGTTGTAATGCGATCAAATTTAGGCGGAATTATTCAAATCTCTGTTATTTTGTGGAGTCGGTAAATAAATCGTTTTTTGTTTTAAATTTTTGATATCTTGGAAACGCGTTTGATTGGTTTATTCATATTTTTATATAAAGTAATAAAATATCTTTTTCACCACTGGCCTATGCTACATGTGTACCATTTATCTTTCCATTGATAGAGTCTTCCGCACAAATACAAAACAGATATGTCAAGTTCCAGTCCTTTTTTATGTTATCGAAAATAGCACAATTTTTTAATTACAAGTTCTAATTACATAGTTTTATTTTGTTTTCTATACTATGATCATTAAGGCAGATCAAGTAAAACTGAATGAAGAAAGGCAATTTTTTTAAGGAAAGAAATATAATATTTGCTTTAGTGCATACACGAATCCAGGAATTTTTCCAGATGTTTGTATGTGGGAGGGTCCACTCGAAAAATCGACTCGGGTATCTTTTAACAACCCCCCCCCCCCCCCGTCGCCCGCGTGGCGCAGTGGTTGGAGCGTCTGCTCAAGAGTCGCGGAGTAAGGAGTTGATCCTTACGTCGCGGGTTCGAATCCCACTGTGGGACGTGGAGACCGGTCCTTCGGATGAGACCGTATAAACCGAGGTCCCGTGTCGCAGTAGGTGCTGGCACGAAAAAGATCCCTCACTGCTCAATGGCCGTAAGTGCCGAGCATAGGACAAAATTTGCAGCTCTCCACCGGCAAGTGGTGGCGTCTCCATATGAGTGAAAAATTCTCGAGAGGGACGTTAAACAACATATCAACAACATTTTACACCCCCCCCCCAAAAAAAACTTCCTCAAACCGGAGAAACTTTTTGTGAATGGGGGGTGCCCCCCACCCCACCACCACCACCAACAATTGACTCGCACTCTTTAGATCCGCATATGCAGTGTATAGACATTATTTGAAAATAATAATGAAATCTTGTCTCAGGTGTTGTGTAGTGAAAACAAAGGTCATTTAAATGAATGTTACAGCTGTAGCAAAGGAATTCTATGCCACGCAACGTTATATTTTTTTTAATTTGTAACGTCAAGGCGGTTTTGAGGCGTCTTATTAAACTGGTTGTAAAATTTGTGAAAAAAAGGATATCTTTAAAACCTTTACATATTTAAAGTCAGTAAATTTTACCAAAAAGTCAATTTTGAAATTTTGACCTTTTCTCGTGAAGGCAGTCATTTTTTTAAACGCTAATCCTCCTACAGTTTGTCTTATTTCAATAAGATTTCATACACAAGTAGACTATACTGAGATACATAATTCTATATATCGATTTTTTTATTTTGATAAAGATGCTGCCATGGTTACAAAAAATAGAAATTTCTGTGGAATTCTTTCATAACGCTACTCCTCCAATTTCAGGCTGATTTCAATATAACTTGGTACACAAGTAGACTAAACTAAGATATTGATTCTGCTTTTTGGTTAAGATAATCGGTGTTGTCATGAATACTAAATATAGAAATTTTTGTTAAATTCTTTCAAATTGCTACTCATCATACATGTGCGTAGTAAACTACACCAAGATACATAATTATGATGATCGGTTTTTGATTTTATTGAACTGTGTTGTCATGATAACTAAAGATAGAAAATTCTGTGAAATTCCTTCAAAATGCCATTCCTACTACCATTTTTCTCTTATTGTAATTAAACTTGACTCGGCAAGAGACTTAACCAAGGATCATTACCTTATTTATCGCTGTTGCCATTGTTTAAGTCAAAAAGCTACCTTTCTCTACTTTTGCTAAGTAAAAACCAGTAAAGCAACAGTCTCGTCAGAGATTTCTGGTAATCTTACCACAAGTTATAGAAATGAAAAAAGGGCCAAGAAAACAAACAGTGATCGATCTAAAAAAAAATCTATAAACAATACAAATATGTGAAGAGGGCATAAAACACGGACCCCTGGAAATTCCAGAGGTGGGATCAGGTGTCTAGGAGGAGTAAGCCCCTGTTGACCGGTCACACCCGCCCTGAGCCGTATGTATAGATCAGGTAGACCGAAACATTCCGTAATAAAATTAAGTATAAAAACAAAGGCATAACAATTGATATGACGCACGTCAACCAACATACGACCCAATGACAGGTTATATTTGCGGACAAGGTCATTATTACGACCATAGAATTAACGAAATGCTGACTTTAAACGAGGTTGTAGAAATTCCTTTAACATCAACTTATCTGTCAGTAACCTGCCTCGGTTTAATAATTGATAGTATCGGAGCATGCTCGTCAGTATCGAATACTGATGTAAACACCATATGCAGGTGATGGTGGGATATTACTACTTAAATAAGGAAAGTTGACGACGGAAAAGCTGAAGTCATCTAGTTTGTCATATAATCTAGTTGTTAGGTTTTTTATCGTTGATAGTCAGTAAAACATCCAAATATGAAACATGCGGTAGACTCTATGGTGTCTTTCATTTCAAGTTCGCTGAAATATCGAGTCAACATATGAATGAAAGTAACTATTGTTAATTGATAATACATCTGCCATATATCTAAATGTCGAATTCCATTTTTATCGACGAAACACTTGTGAATAATATAAAAAAAACCTCGTTTTAAATTTATCGTGAGGTGCTTGTATAAAGTGTAGTTAAGTCATACGTCTTGATGTTACCGACTTTTGAAAAAAAAAATGGCGATTTTATAAATTTTCTAAAAGTTCTTTGGAGTTTTTGATAATCCACGTCTGATTTACTCCACTTATACGTCTGAAGTTTCTCCACAGCAGTGCCGGGCTACATCACTAGTTTGTAATCTGTAGTTGAAGAATCTACGTATGGACTTGCTTTAGCTTCTTCAAATACATGTAGTCAGTTCTAATATTTCAAGGTAACCGAGTAGAGTTTGGTGCATATGCGATGAAGGCCTAATATTATTGTTTATCGACGCAAGGCAAAGGGGACATCATATATATTTGATCTATTGTATGACTGATGTCCATGACCGCCTACGTGTAGGTGCATTGTTTAAAGTTCCATTGCATTCTCATTTGCACAATAATGGCTTGAGAGATTCCTGTATCATTTATATGGTCGTTGCAACCATACGGAAAGGCCATGCCTAGTGTTTCCTGATCCAGTAAAGCTCTGCTCTAGTTCTTCGAATTGTTTGCGTTTTGGGATATATGTTTAATAGATCGTTATGACTGAAACTGATCACAAATAAGAAAACAATGAAGACAAGTAATGTAACTAATGACAGGTGAATATCAATATTTATTTCACATCAAACAAATATAAATCACTTATGTCAACATTTAAGCGCGCTTCGATAAAAAGCATGGTTTACATTTTTACAGATGATAACATATAAACGTAATTCTTATTCCTAAAATACCAGTATAAACTTTTGTAATTACAAGTTGTATAATTTTGCTGTGGTTTAAACACAGTTTAAGAATTAAATTTGTCTGAGGCTTCTAATAACAAGAGATTGTTTAGCGAAAATAAAGCTAGAAACATTTAAAGTACAATTTTATTTTCCTCAAAAATATTTTTTATTCTACAATATGTTAGCCGAATGCCTCAAACTAAATACAAAACACTAAATTTACTATCATACAACATGATTGAAAAAAACGTAAACGTGGCGTTTTATAATATCTTTCATTCACCACAAACACATGCAAACACAGATTCGTAAACAAATCTACATATGCAAAGTTTTTTTTACATTAATCATTACATTCATTTCCGTATATATATATATATATATATATATATATATATATATATATATATATATATATATATATATATATAAAATACCTCTGTGAATTTTTTCTACATAAAAGTATGACAGAGAAATCTTCTATTTTTTCTAAACAGCCCCTACCGTGGAATAGTTTTTGTGCTATTTGCCCATGGTAAAATAGTCATCAAAGTATTCACCGGAAGCATTCCATTCCCCTCGTTTTTCATCTTAAACCTATATGGGTTATTATATTGTGACGTACCTGGTTTGTGACGTAACAAAAGTAAAGTCGTCTTACGTATAATAAAACATCTATATACTGACTATTCGGACAATAGCAAGTTTATCATCCCCCTCGACAGCAACTATTTCCCTCGGCTGCGCCTCGGGAAATAGTCGCTGTCTTGGGGGACGATAAATTTGCTATTGTCCTCATAGCCAGTAAACAGGTGTATAATATATATTAAGTATTGAATATTGTGAAATTTAAATGAAACACTCCAAGGTTCAAGTGGATTTTTAGTCCGTATCTGAAATGATATAGTAAAAACTTAGCTTTGCGGATAAAATCTGACCCTGTAGCTCTGAAAATCGGATAGATATTTCAAATCAAGAGTAATTTCAATTGAAATACAAATCGTTTTAGTTACTATAGTATTGCACTTATCATTCAAGATATATTTGAAATTAAAATTGGGGGAAAAAAATTAATTACAGTGTTAATGCCTTACCATACTTTTCAGAATCGTCCGATGAACCGGAGTCCATGAAGGAATCCTCCCCCGATAGCATATCCATGAGACGTTGTCTTCTTAAAGTATCTAAGTTTAATGCATATATATACTTTTTTCATGGAATAAATAATACATGAATGTTGTTAAAATGTGTTGGGTTTATTGCAACCGCAAAACTGTTTGCAGGATTAGGGTATATAATAGATCCTTTTAACTTTTAAATACACTAAAATATTTTTGAATTCCTTTTTACTGTTTTTCCCTCTAATTATCTCCCCTTTTTCCATGACGGCGGTATGGGACACTATATACAGCTGATAACTACTAATTAAATCTGTAAAGAATGATTGCGAATTTACGAATCGGAGTTTTTGTACCTTACTTTCTTAAGATGTAAAATTCAGAGAAAACTAATATATCACACTCGCAAGGGGGATATGTCTATTAAGAGTTTATAGTTTTGCTTCAATTAATAAAACCATTTTATTGAAAAATTATTTGAAGTGTAAAGTGAATTGATGTAATACGTATATGTAGGTCACATATATCAGAAAGTCTCATCCTAGGTGTCTATGCAGTCGCCGTTGAGGATTAATCTTCCCTATATTTATACATTGCAATGCTTTGGTCATATTTGAGATTTTTTTTATAGGATATATATGGTTTTGTTAATTTTTATTGTTTAGGTGTTGTTTGGATGCAAGTTGTCAAGGTCAGGAATAAAATGTACACCTTACCTATACCCCAGATGTCATTGAACACTCTTGAGTCACTCCTTTCGTATTCCTCTGGCATAGTATTTGGAGATACTAAAAATATATTTCAGACATATGTTTTATTTTTCAAATTGGAGGAAATTCGAGTTGAAATCTACAATGTTGATTAAAAAAAATTATAATGGACACAATATACAGTTGTCTTGCTGATTTTAGTAATTTCGTTAGTAAAAAAAAACAACAACACATTTTTCAAATTAGAACCTTATTCTGGATTTTAGTCATTCAAAAATTCCTCAGTGTTTTGAGTCTGATGAAATTAGGAAAGATAACTTTTTAAAGTGAACTTAAGACTTTTTTTTCCTAATTGGAATTTTCATTTCGATGAACTTCAGATTTACTGTAAATTCATTCAAATTAAGATATAAGTTGTCTATTAAAACATTATGTACTCACTAGCGTGATGCAGGTCTCTTATATTTTTCTTTATCTGCATTATCTCTGACATTATCTACAAGGAAAAGATTGCAAACTAATAAGCGTTCATTATTCTAATTTAAATTTTAAACTTCAGGATTTGTATTTATTACAATTTAATCTTGGTACACTTTACACAGATTTCTGAACAAATAATAAAAACTGCAATCAATTATTTGCGCAAAGAAAAAGAAGAACAAGTTGTTATCATAAATCACATATTGAAGCTGACCTTGGAGGTCCTTCCATCAATACTTCTTGTGATTTTTTTGTGTCTTTTCATTTTCCTTTGAAGAACCTGGTAGAAATACATCATTACACAATTTTAATCAACTAAGAGAAAAGAGAGACAAAAATACAGAGACACTTATTTTCTTAATATTAAATCTGTTACAATTACTTTGCCTGAACTCAAAAAAGTTTTTGGTTTAAATATTTAAAGAATAGTCGAAATGTTCAACACAGCAAGGAAATTTGTATTATGTACATTGTGTATATTGTATTTGAAAGCCATGTTTTTTTACGTTTCACAATACCTCTTACATTATGAATTATATCTATTTTGTAATAAGACCCTCTGGCACCAGTACTGTAGGCCCTATTTTCGCCCCATCATGAATATGACCAGGGCATAGAGCGTTTGTCATGTCCGTCTTCCGTCCTACCGTCTGTCTTTCCGTCGCGCTTGCGTTTAGCTCAATTAAAAAAAAAATTTCAAGATATTTTTATCAAAATTTTTATGCTGAAACATTGATTAGAGCTATTCAACTGCATCAACATTTTTTAACCTTAGTCTTTCCTTTGACCTTGACCTTACTTTTCTGAAGTCAGTTATACGGAAACCGTTCAAGATGTTGTTATCAAACTTCAGATACTGATACATACTGCTGTTAGCTATTCAACTGCATCAACATTTTTTAACTTTGATCTTCCCTTTGACATTATTTTTCAGAAAAATGTGCTTACTTCAATTTTAAGAAACTATTTATGATACTGTTGTCATACTTCATATGCTGATACATACCGATGTTCGCTATTCAACTGCATCAACATTTTTACCTTGATATTTCCTTTGATCTTGACCTTTCCTATTTTATATTAGTGTTGAAGATATTCTTATCAAACCTTGCATGCTAATACATATTGATAAAAACTATTTAACTGCATCAACATTTTGTTGTCCTTGACCTTTCTTTGACATTGAAAAAACTTTTGTTAAATTATGTTTACCTCAGTTTTAAGGAAACCATTCAAGATGTTGTATTCAAACTTCATATGCCGATACATACTGATGGAAGCTAAACTCATCTGCATCAATCTTTTTGACCTTTTTCCTTTGACATTGATCATCCTTTTTTTTGAAATTGGTGTTTATCTCAGTTTCAAATAAACTATTGAAGATATTCTTATCAAACCTTATATGCCAAAACTTTTTGATGATAGCTATTCAACTGCCGGCATCAACATTTATTTTTCTTGACCTTTCCTTTGACCTTGACTTAAAATTTCTTAAATAAGTGTTTAGCTTAGGTTTCAATATATTGTTAGCAAACTTCATATATTGATACATATTAGTAAGATAATTGTACTGCATGTAAAAACTTTGAACTTTACTTTACCTTTCTTAATTTTGCATTTTCTATTTCAAAAATATTCAAGATATTTTTATGTAAACATATGCCAATGATATAAATTGGATTAGAATTTATCAACAATATCCCCTAAATTTTTCATAGACATTCCCAATTATCTTTGACTTTATTATTATTTATTGTCTATAAACTTCAGTTTTAAAGAAACTGTCTAAGATATTTTTATTAACCTTCAGACACTAATACAAATTTTCATGTTTAATTTCTGGTGAACTCTGGGCTGGGCATTTAGGCCTATGGATATATTTCCAATTTAAGAATATCTTCCTTTTCTCCAGAGAGTTAATCACTACCTTCTTTGTTTACATCAATTTGAAAATATTTTTATAATTACTACCAAGAATAATATTTCTTAATTTCGGGTAAATTCAGTTTAGTAGTGGCTTTGAAATCTTTTATCCAAAGAAGAGCAAATAAAACAATTTGTACTTTTGAATAGAGAAAAAAAAATCATCTTTGGTTTGGATGCGTATTCTTTCTTTAATGGCAGCTTGTAAGAGAATAGTCAAGTGTATGTCTGGTTTTGAATTTTTTTTATTTGGGGGGGGGGGGGCATTCAACATTATTGCTAGAAGATTTACCGTTATTTTGTCTTCATCTTTTGTGTCCAAATCACTGGAATGAAACATAAACAAAAATTCATTGCAAAGTATCAATACAGATATTCATGAATCAACAGCTTTTTTCCGTTTTGTCATTATACAAGAAGAATAACATTAATGGTAAGGAGAGGCCGCTGCCTGAAATGAAAATATAGTAGATTCTTTTTTGACACAAACTTTACCAAGACTGTAACTTTATTATCATTATTCATTTCAAAGCATATTTTGATATTACTTATACATCCTACACAGCAAGAACGACGACTTTTTTGTTGGAAATGTATGACAATGGCTACATGGGCCCTTTCTTGTACTGTAGACGTACTTTTTCCGCGTGGGATTAATTAATGCTATGGACTTGGTCAAGAATTTCCTCGGAAATTTTCACAGCGTTCTTAAAAGTTTATTTAAGACATAAAAAGGCAATCAAAGACAGTCCCGTAATTTACTACTCGCGAATTACACGGAAATGTGATTCCGCGGAATTATAACCCCGTGGAGAAAAGTACGTTTACAGTATTTAAAATTCAGAACATCTTTTTTGCAATAACAAGCATACAGTCCCTGAAACGTTCTACTTTCCCACTTGAACGGTGAGTGAACGCTGAACGAACGGTGAACGAACGCTGAACGAACGCAGAGCGAACGGTGAGTGAACGATGTGTGAACGCTGAACGCAACTTGGTGAACGATGTGTGAACGGTGAACGGTGAGCGAACGCAGAACGCGAACGGAGCGCAAACGCGAACGCAAAGTGAACGGTGAACGAACGCAAGATGAACGATATATTCGGAATGCCTCTGATCTTTTCCTTGCATTGACTATTTTATTGTATTATAATGTCAGGTGCCAAAAAAAAAATAAATAAATAAATAAGTAAACCAATAAATGAATGAATACATAAGTAAATAAAATAAATTCTCCAAAATTGTCCTAAGAAAGACGATTCATGCACATTAAGTTTTTAATCATACGATTTTTAACGCATTAAAACATTGCAATTGTTGCCGAACGCTGAAGTATAAAAGATATATAAAAGATATTTTTTTTAGTTGGAAAATAAAAATGTTTATTCTTATTTGATAACAAATCAGAGAAAACTTCTGACTTACAGAATGAATTAAAGCGATTGTAACATCCATTCATATATCTCCATGTCAAGGCGATTTCATGTAAAGTAATGAAAAAAATTAATTACAAAGGTCAGTGGACGGTTTGCATTTATACGCTCGTATTTTAAATTTTTAATACAATAATATATTATGTGTCATTTCTATTTTTCATGATGATTTATTGAGCAGACTTCTACATGTATCTGTAGATGGCCGTGATTATACTCGGACAAGAAAATACAAAGATACATATTCATTTTATTTGTTATAAATTCAATTTTCAGAACTTGATATTTAAGTAATATGCTGTTATAATTTTTATTAAACAGACAAATGAGAGAGAGAGAGAGAGAGAGAGAGAGAGAGAGAGAGAGAGATTCCGTTTTAGCCCCCCCCTTCCTTTCAGGCTTCACTAAATGTTTGTACCTATATCAAACAATAACTCTGAAATTTTTTTCTAAATATATTAGACATTGAAAGTAACATTTATTTTTAATCAACAAATCATATCCATCTGTTTGACAGTATTACTCGTTTTTATTTTCCTGCTTCAAGTTCACACGAAGTCCACGTGCTTGTCCTGTCAATCAAAATCATTCGACCCTGTGCAGATGTGAAAGTTTCGTCACATCGAAGACGAAGTGCGAGTATTTCCAACAAGTTATAACATTTATTTTTATCATTTCTAGATTTGATACCAACATTTGAATAATAAATGAATAAAATATATTGGGCATTAACACTTGAATTTGAAACATACTCTCTGCCAATTTCAAATACCACCGCCGACACTTGTACATTGTGAACTACTATTGTTTTGTGACTTTTTTAGATGCATGTTTGTTTTGAGACTGAAATTTTTGTTCTAAAAAAGACCTTAACTTTTTTTTAACAGGTTAATTAAAATTTTCTGGAAATACAGTACTGACTAAGTAACCGATTTAGGGGAAAAAAGGGGGGGGTAATCATATCGAATGGCAAACATATAAAGTTACGGTGAAGAAAGAATTTTTTTCTCTATAACTATAGACTTTACATACATGTATTATAGTAGCGAAAATTCTGTAGTGCATTACATTTTAAATAAATATTTCCTTTAAATACACTATCAATTTAATTCGCTCAAAGATAATAAATTAACAGTAATCCGCAGTACTATGTATAACTCTCAGAACTAGTTCTATCATATTTTCTGTAGTAATTGAATTAAAAAACGCGTTAGAAACGCGTTAGAAATAAATATTTTCGTAATTTTGCTGCGTAATTATTTGACTTGGATAATTATATCTCCATTAACGATTTGTCGTCTTTAACAAAACAACAAAATTGCCCTTAGTTAAATTTAATATTTCAGCATCGTTCTACATAGGTACAGAATGTGCTTATAACAACATTTATTTTCCAGAGTAATTTAATAAATAACCTAATAGCTAAGTTAGAATAATAAAAATATATATCTTAGATATTTTCCCCCATGAAATAATGATTCTTCAAACACGATATGTTAGTTATTAAATTAAAAAATCTGTAACTCCTTACCTACAAAAAGATAAGTCCTTTCACTTGGGAGTTCCGAATGGCAATGAAAACTGAACGATAGGTGAACGCTGAACGCAAGGTGAACGCAAAGTGAACGGAACGAAGAGCGAACGCTGAACGCTTTGTGAACGGTGAACGCGAGCGCACGGTGAACGGTGAACGCAAAACTGTGAACGGAGAGCGAACGGTGAACGCACGGTGAACGAACGGTGAACGCACGCTGAACGAACGGTGAACGAACGGTGAGCGAACGGAAAAATGGGAAAGTAGAACGTTTCAGGGACTGTATAGGAAGAAGTTAGCCTTATGTAAATAAGTTTTTTTAAATTATGACGAACTCGGTACTATCTTATAAACACTGAACTCATGTTATTTGAATTAACAATTTATCCAACGGGCCACGACTATCTTAATGATCATCTTAACCCTACTATTCTGAAGATAAATTACAAATATGTAACTGTTAGATTTTTTTGGAAAATCCCCTCATATTAACATAACACTCAAACAAAAAAGGCATATATGAACCCTCTTCATTTCAAAATACATTCCAATAATACAATAAAGTTTGTAACATGTTAAATTTACCCTGATGCTTTCAATGCAGCTTGTCCTTCGGCATCATGTGTTTCCTTCAAATTCAGGTCAAAGTTTTTGTCATATAGGAACACTGAAAATAGATAAAAGTGTTTTAAATAGGTATACAATTTCTACGTAATGGGGAAGTGGAGTGAACAATTAGGTATTTACTTTTGAATTGCATTTATCATTCAAGCGAATTCTTGCATATTATTATAACTAAATGTGGCCTTTGTAGCTGTTTTATGAAAAGAGATTTTTGAAACTTCTCATTGAAAACTATGTTTCAATTTTCTGGCAGTCCAAGAGAATATGAATTTTTGAAGAAATTGAAGTATAGCGGATTGAAGACAACATATTGATGTATTCGGATGCTTGCAAACATGTTTTATGATTTATCTTTCTATGCTGTTCTAGTGAAAAAATAACTTAAATATTGTTTCCTATATAATTCCGTGTAAAAATTTGAGCCTCTCTTTGGAAACTTACCCCTGGACCAAACTCTTAAAAAATTTGCATATAACTTTCTACGGAGCTTGCATAATCTATTTTATGGTAGAATAAGATAAAAAGGCTAGAGATGTTAAGAACGACTTACTGCTTTTTTAAACTTGTACACTTGCATGTGCATCAAATAGAAGACTTTCTGAAACTTAAAAATCAGCATTTGCATACAAGCAAATTGTATAACTCCAAATGTCTACCTCTAACAAACATTGGGCTTTTATTGAGTTCATCATCATCCTCATCATCGAATTCGCTGTCGCTATCATATCCATCGTCTCTACATATACACTTTTGTATTTTCTTGCGTACAAAAGAGAAAGGGAACCATATAACAAAATGGATCAAAGAGACGGGTAGTACTAAAAGTTGGAAGTGAATGGGGAAAATTGTCTTCACGCTGTATTCTTCCAGAAAATCTAATTGAAGTTGTGACCAATAGAACTTGCTTTTCTCGTGGACGTCTTCAAAAGTATGACTGAAACAGAAAAAATATCATTTTAAACAATGAATTGTGCTTTTTAACAAGAAAGTACGTTTTGATTATTGTCTTTATATGAAATATAGAAGTTTCCAGTAAGTAAGTAACCCGTAAACTTTTCCTACAATGCTAGCAACAATCAGTCACGTGACCAACCCAGTTTACTGTGTGCAATGTGAACGATGTGTAAGCTGTTTAATATTTTACATGTACGTAACTCACATATTACTAATAACATATTTATGAACACAAGGTCCGATTTCAATAAAACTGTACTTATATTTGAGCTTTTATTGGATGCAAATGTCAACTTTTTACAAGAAGATATCTTAGACTTCGAAAAACCTTAATTAATTTTAAAATGCTTAAAATGAAAATTGTTGCTTGAAAAGATTTCAATTAATAGCTTCGTTTTAAGAGTGTTTATATTTAAATAAAATAATTATTCTCCTAGACTGGGAAGCTTCATCATTCTACTAGTATAGAATAAAAATGGCTAATGAACATACATCATGAATTCAAAGAGAGAAAAAAAAGTTCATTTATTATGAGGTTGGCCAAAAGCTACAAATTAAGGAATTTTTAAAAATACATGTTAATTTAAATCATTCAAGTTAATTTTTTTTTTACATATACCTGTACATCGCAATCAGAAGATTCAGAAGCAGAATGATAGCGATTAATGCATACACTGCTTTTAGGTATGGTGCTAGAAACAAGCCCAGCTCGGACGGACAACGTTCCATCTCACCACTGTTGTAAATTTCTTTGTCGAGCGTACAATCAGGTTCCTTCACTGAAATATCAAGCTTTCATTTTTTGCCCATTGCCATGTTCTTATTTTTTTATTACTTATTAAGCTTGAAAATGATCAAAGAGCTTAATTGTTAAATTCGAGTATTGTCCATTTTCCAGTCAACCTGTATCATTGTAAGCAGAAATATTCAGAAACTACCCTAAGAGGACGTGTACCCCCTGCAGGGCAACTAAGGAAAAGCATACTTCAAATAACATACATTTTTGGTATCAGAGTAACGTTTAGACGGGAAATTCATTCCTTATATTTTTGTCAAATAATTAACATCCTAAAAACACATCTTCTAAGGTCAGACAACGCATTCCTCAATACTATATAATTTGTGATTGAAGTAGTGCTACTTTAAGAAGTTACCTAAAAAAAAACCGATATACCTTACCAGGTATTAGTGCAAGATACCAGAGGGTGATGTTTCCTATATAATCAAGATCACAATTTTGGTGTACTTATTTTTTAAAGACATTTTGAAAACAATTTTGAAATAACAAGAGAATGACAAATGTGAATACTTTTTTATATATTACAAAGAGATACAAATAAGATATTTGAGGAACGTGTCGTAAGACCTAAAACAAAATCTTAATTAATCAAAATTTAAAATATCAGATGCACAACTTCAAACTGTGAATAAATTCTTCAAAATTCGTATCTGAAAAAATGATTACAGACGGACATATTGACATGACGATTCCAATATAACCTTGTCGTTTTTCTTTCAAAGGTAGTGATAATTACTTACATCTATCATTTTCCAGGGACAGTTCACCAAATAAAATCCAAAATCCATTTCGAACAATCTTTTCTATCTGAGAAAAACTTAAGTCCGAATCATCTGAATACAAAATGGCGAAGTATGACACGCTGTAGCAAAGCGTTATTACCGTTGTTATCATAAGGAATGCAAAGGTGTCCACAAACTGCAAGAACAAATTTTAGCATTCCATGAAGGAATAGTTTTTTTTTTCAAACTGGTGAGAGTTAAGTGTCTAACATTTCGAGTAAAACTATTCGTATTTTCTTTATTCTTTACCATTTTTCTAATGATCACAAGCTTTGCTCCGATGATCTCCGAAATAATCAGTAGATTAAGAAATCGAATACACATTAAAATGAAAGACAAAACCAAAAGGCATTTTTCAGCTATTCGATAGGTATCCCCATTGCCACATTTAACCAGCATTCCACAAAGGTAAAAGACCATTATACTCCACTCTAAGTAATTAGTCCAATCAGTTATGTATGTTTTGCCTTTCTTCCTTTTTACTGCAATAACAATCTAAAAAAATGTGAAAATTATGTTGATCATATTTCTATTATTCAAATAAAAGATAATATGGATGTATGAGGACGAAATTTATAAACAGATCCTTTGTTAACTAAAGAAATATTCATCAAAAGATCTTGATGTTCCTCCTCACTCAATTTTTTTTAACAATCTCATACTTTAGACAGACCACTATATTGACATATAAAAATACACTAGTACTTGTTTTTGTTGGGGAGGGGTGTTAATAAAGGAAAAACCCGACCTCAGATCTATCAGGAATATAAATCTTAATTATTAAAGAGTATACTGCTTTCTTGACATTTGAAATAAATTCTGGAAGCTGATGAGCTTTCATGTTGTGTATAGTATTTCAGGTCCCCGCTTTACAATATTACTCACGATTAATCCTAAGTGTTAGTAAGTAATTAGTTTTATTTTAAATCTAGCTAATTTTATAATTTTTGAGAGAGGGCTAAAATAGGCTATATCTGCTGTCCAATCCCATTCCCTTTTTGCGAATAAAATTATGTATAAAATATATAAATTACATGAAAAAAAAATTAAATCACAATTTAATAAGCATAATGAAGTAAAAGGCGAAAGTAGATTTCGGTTTTTCAGTGTAGTTGTTACGCCTTTGTTTGCAAAAGGTACAAATTTATGTATCTAAAATAAATTGAAATTCATTTACCTGTTTTATTTCATCAATAAACAAGCATGCCATCCATGCTATTATAAACCAATGCGTTCTTGAAACTCGACCAGTAAAGTCAAAAAGCAGCATGTAAGAATATGCTACTAAAATAGCAAGCCAGCCAAACTATTTTAGCATGATCCGCAAATGAAAAAAAAGAAGAAAAATATGGAAATGAAAAGAATTTTTACACAACACATATATAAGAATCATTTTAAATACTACAATATTCAGTAAATAATAAATCATATATATGTAAATATATATACATACATACATATATATATATATATATATATATATATATATATATATATATATATATATATATATATATATATATATATATATATATACAAACCATGTTTAGAAGAACTTTCATGACAGGGACCTTGTACAGTCTATAGAGCCTACAAACATACAGCAATACTTGTCTATGTAAGTGTTGAAATGCAAGTAAAATTACATGTAGTTGTTTTGCTACGTTTTCGTTACTTATTTAATAATTTTACAACAAAATTTACCTATAATACTTTTTATATGTGCTCCTCGTACCAAAAAAGGAGAGGTAGATATTCAGTAAAATGTTAATACTCAAGTCATGTGTTGGAATGGAGGATATAAAATTGAGGTAACACTTCCTTAGAAATGGAATCGGATTTATTTTAAAATATTTTCATCAATTATTTCTAAGTATGTCTGATACAACTTTTTTAAGATACGAGTCATACAATTTATTATTTTCTTTTTTACATTATGCCCATATATTTTATGCCGAAAAGGACAATGGAATCTGCCCACTCCAACGATTATATAATGCACTGAGTTATGGGAAAGTGTCTTATTATTACTATTATTTTGCAATATCTATAAAAAGAAGGTTGAAAATTATACACCACCCCTTTCGAGAAAACTTTAGATACCAATACTAAAGAGTTGATCTTTTCATTCTGGGATGCATTTCAATGAATGGAAAATTGGGTGTAATTCTATTGATATGTTCACATCATTGAATTTAGACCAGATCCCAAGACCATAAACTGAGAATAGACTCAAGTCAAAAGTTTGATTTTTAATATCATGAGTTTAATATAATAATATTTTTGCTTAAAAATTTCCAGTTTGATATAACATTTAAATTCAAATATATGATGAAAAAGTTATATTGGTTTGAAATTTTGACATGTCTGTTCTCAGTTTATGGTTTTAGGGCCAGTATTTCAGGTATGTAGATATATTTACAAGATTAGATACATCTTCGTGGAATTCATGTGGTGAATATTTAACTTTTCTTCCTTGCATCGAAGGTATTTTAAATGTAAATCTAACTAGATTTCAAGTTTGTATTAGTTCTTAAAGTAGCATGATTACAAGTTTAAAAACATGTTTTTCATTCAGTTGATATTTTATTATCGGAGGTATGGTGCATGTGAAGAGACAATCCAGAAAATCGCTCAAGTGTAGCAATGCATCGGGGTTTATATAAGAGGTAGAATAAGAAAGCACATTGAGAGGAAAAAAACAGAGAAAGGTGAACGTGGATATAACAAGCTTTGTAGAATTATTTAATGTATACATGTATATTGAAGCAAATTTAAAAAAAAAAATGCCAATATGGATATAAAGATTTCATTGCTTATTCTTTAATATGTGTATAGAAGATTATTTTTAATAAACAGAATATTTATCACACTGTTATCATGATTTTATGAGTTTGTACACGCCAGACATCATAACTTTTTCATTTCACATGTTTAATAGAATCATTTAGTAAATCCAAAAAAAAAAAAAAATAAAAAATAAAAAAAAAAGAGAGAGAATCGTCCGGGGATTGAACCCTGGCCTCTCGCTTGCTAAGCGAGCAACAAACCACTAGACCACGCAGGTACTCGAATATAGAGCAAATTAAATGCAAATATTAACTCACATATAATGTTTATATTGACGTTTGATATCGTCAAAATTTTAATCAATACATGGTGTCTAATTTAGCCTTTACTTAACAGTTCTAATAGATGTAATAAGAATATAATGTCCGCCGACAACCTGTATTATGCGTAATAAATCTCCACAAGCCCCTGTGTTAAAAACATTGCCATGCGACTTTAATACATGCTTGTTTGTTTGTTTGTTGTTTAACGTCCCTCTCGAGAATTTTACACTCATTTTGAGACGCCATCACTTTCCGGTGGAGAGCTGCAAATTTTGTCCTATACTCGGCACTTACGGCCATTGAGCAATGAGGGATCTTTTTCGTGCCAACACCTTCTGCGACCCGGGACCTCGGTTTATACGGTCTCATCCGAAGGACCGGTATCCACGTCTCATAGTGGTATTCGAACCCGCGACGTAAGGATCAACTCCTTACTTCGCGACTCTAGAGCAGACGCTCTAACCACTGCGCCACGCAGGCGATTACAATACATGTAAATGATAATTAAAAAACGAGGCGGGACACTTTGAGAGGGGTGAGAGAGGCCCTAGGAAGTTATGGTACAAAATTTCATTGCAAAAGCTTAAAAGCTTCTTAAGATATCGCCCGGAAACAAAAGTGTTACACACAGACGGAATGTATAAATTTACGACCTTGAACTCAGACCTTTTGACCTCAAAATCAATAGAGGTCTTCCTTAGGCTACAGGGAGTTGTTATGTAAAATTTCATTGCAAAAGCTCAAAGGATTCTCGAGATATCGCGTGGAAACGAAAGTGTTAAAACAGACAGAATTTATGACCTTGACCTTTGACCTTTTGACCTCAAAATCAATAGGGTTCTTCTTTTGGCCATTGGGAGTTGCTATGCAACATTTCATTGCGAAAGCTCAAAGGGTTCTGGAGATATCGCGCGGAAACGAAAGTGTTACAGACAGACAGAAATACAGACGGACGGACAGACAGACCCAAATTAATATCCCCCACTTTCAGTGAAAGCGGGGGACAACAAATCCTACAAGGATGAAATTGTTGCGCATTTGAGAATTAATGACAACTGAAACTCATTAATGTGCATGTATGTGTTAAGTATTTATTAATTGTCATAAGGAAATTACCTCTGTAAAGGTCTGGTCTCCATTGTGATCATCAAAGGAGGCAATAATAAGAGATGGAAGACTGTCAAAAAGGCAAAAAGCAAGCCCTAAAATATAAAATCAGTGTGAGATTTACCTACATCTTACGTCCTTAGTTAGTCCAGTATGATTCAGAAAACATCTCTTCGGGATAGGCTTATAATTCTTTTCTTTTTTTTCCATTGTCTATTGTCAGTAAATGTAAGTTTTGGTACCATCTTTCCAAAGGGATTAAGGAAACGAATTATACAATACCTCTTTGCCAAGATATGTAAGATAAAATATTTAATCAAAATGATTTAATTGTTTCAGAGAGAAAGCTAAAATGATTTCGAAATTTATTATCAACTTCATAAAGATGCCAGCAATAGATAAACTACCAACTAGTAAGATCAAAAAAGAAAATATACTTTATTGATAGATGAAGACTCACCCTTCGTAATGAAAGATTTTCACGCTTGTACCACATTTGATTTATAACTTTCTTGACAATGTCGTCGTTTAAATAGACCCTGTTCTCTGTTTTGATGGCATCTGCTAGGTATCCGTGATTCAGTAAAAGTCTTCCAGCATGGTCAATTCGTTTCCCCAATTCCTTGGCTTGTACATCTGGATCATTCCCCTCTTTATACCTTTTCTTGTAGACCTTTGTGTCACTCTCATGAATACAACTTGTAATTCGTAAGGCCTGTTGTGTGCACAACCTAAATTACGATGCATTTAAGAATCAAAACATACCTTAAGGACAGATGATACAAACGAAAACATGTATTGGTATATATTTCTGGACCTATTTTGTTGTAAATGATGCGAATATTACATTTCTTGAATATTAAGTAATTGTAAACTTTTTAAGATGTTCAAAAGTCTATCTTTCTGCTACCAGTCTTATTAATCTATACAAGTTGTTGTCACTTTAAATCACATTATTGTGAAACTGAGAGAGAAAAAATAAAATTTATGCGGTTAAACTTATTCATTTTACTTATATAAACATGCCTTAGTTGTTATTTTAATAAAATTTGATAAAGGTTTTTTGGATCATATGTCCTTAAGAGATACGTGTTTATTACCCAGCTACCTTCTGAAAGATTGAAGGAGTTCTTTCTATATGAATATAACCCTCATTAGTTCTCTATTCCAAGTTTAATCATTATTAATGATCATGTTTCTGGCAAACAATTTATGCTATATATCTTATAGCTTATAGTCTTATTTCTCTTGGATTACATACTAAAACCTAACAAAAAGTCCAAATATTTCCGCTACACATGCCAATACATATGGCTCATTGGTAATAATGTTCATTTGAGAGCTCAAAGGTTTTATCAAGTTAGGCAGCTGTCACGACAAAGAGATTTCCTTATGTACAGATGTAGTATAAGTTCATTAGATATTCTTAAATTTAAAACAATGTGCAACTGATCAACTGAAGTTCCGGGTACAACATTCTCTTTCTCGGGGGACTTAATTTCAGTCTACAATCAAAGAAACAAACAGTCGTTTATTATCCAGCATTTAAACTAACATAAGCTTATACTAGGTTATATTCACACAAACATTAGAAAAGTATTCTGAAACGTCTTTTTTTGTTCAGATATATTGCGATTTAAGTTGTTTTCCCATAATGAAAATTGTAATTTTTTGGTACTTACATTTTCATCTGTAACAACTTGTCTTTTTCTATCTGGCTGGTTTGCCAATCGTTTGCTATATCTTGTAAAATGACACAACCAACCAATAGGTGGGGAATACGAACCTTAAAGATAATAATTACATAGTATAAGAACTTTATATTAAAAATGAATCCCTGGGATGGGTAATTGAGAAATAAAGCAAAACGTGTTCAGTTTCAAAAATAAAACCTCTTTTTCATACAATGGATCAAATCATGTTACTGTTTATGAAATGAATGTAAGTTTGACTCCTTGATAATGGAATAGATTCTAAAAATGAACTGTAATTTCAAAGACTTTACCATGCTAGTAGCACGCTGAACCCAGGAGTCATGTATTTCAGTTTTTCTTAGGGGAACATATCTCATTAAAACATGTCAACAGTTTAACTGCTTGATATCATAAGTAAAGAAGGTTATCTAAAAATTATTTCATTTTCAACATATGATTTACTAAGCTCCAACCAACATCTTAACCCAATGGAATTAGATATTTCCAATTTTTTGTCAGGATTAATACCATGAAATTTTTATGTTGTCTTTACTGATAAATATTAAATACCAAAAATGGTTGAAATCCCGTTCTGGAGAAGAACCTGGAAATTGTCAAGCGTTTACAACCAACATTTGACGACAAGCAACTACAGAAACTTAGAGAATTATCTATTTTTTTTCATGAAAAAACATCTTTGTGGACTTATCCTTGATACAAGATATCACATATCTCTATGTACATGTAATAGTAACTAAGGCTTCAAATAAATTATACTTACACTTCCTGTCTCAATAAGCTGCTTGGCTCCTTCATAATATTTCTTTTTCAAAAGGGCAAAAAAGATTAATCCAAAAAGTCTAGAAATTTTTATATCTAGTCTTCCAACTGAAAATTCAAGAAAGCAAATTTAGAGATATTATGAATATAATATAACCAACGCATGGAAACAATAAAAAAAAAATAGCTACGCCTGTTATCAGTAATGAATACGGAATCGAAAATACTTAAATCTGTTTGGAAAAATTATCTTATTCGTTAAAAATTGGTCGCCAACCCATTTTTGAATCAACTACGTCCTCTTCTTTTTCATCTGAATCTACAAAAAACATTAATAATCAGTCATTTATATACTTCTAAAAGTAAGAATTAAGTACAATACCTTTTTTTTTATCCCTGAGAGCCATTTTTGGGAATTCTAACAAAAAATATACAATATATCTCGATATGAAAGGTAATATTTACATAATTTTTTAAATGTTTAAATTATTTTTGGTAAATGTTAATACCCTTTACCATAAGCAAACTGTACAACATTAAACTGTAAAAGATAAAGATAAGGAACAGTGATAATGCTCATAAATGCAGTAAAAAATCAAATCGTAAACAGGGCAAAAACAAGAGCTCCTGGAAACATCAGAGGTCGGATCAATTGCTTAGGAGGAGCAAGCATCCTTACTCCTGTCGACTGGACACACCCGTTGTGAGCCTTTCTTTTGATCAGGTATGAGGTGTTATCCGTGTCACATTAATTATAAAAGCAATGACCTAACGCATGTCGGACAAAAATTACCCCAAACGATAGGTTGTATTTCCGAACAAGGTCATTGTAACAATAGTAGGATTTGCGCAAAGCTGACTTTAAATGAGAATGTTGGAATCCTTGTAATATCAACTTATTTGTTAGTTTCTTGCCCAAGTTTAAAAATGGATCGTTCTCGAAGCATCCTCTTGGCATCGAATCAGTGTGGAGCAAACACCATATACTGGTGATGTTGGAATAAAACTAAATAAATTACGGAAGTTGCAGATTGGAAAGTTGAAGTCATCCTCTGTGTGATACAGTTCAGTTAGTTCTCGGCTAAAAGCCCTTTGGGGTACAAATAGAAAAGACAGTAGTGTTGATTTAGCGAAAAAAATGATTGTTTTAATATCTTACCTGACTCACCACCTTTCCATTTCGGTGCTGTATATGCTGATTTGGTCATTAGTTCTAACTCCTTCCAAAGACCTTCTTTAAACTGCTCAATCATTTGCTAAAAAAATAAGAAAATGAAATTGTTTCCACCTGTATTTTTTGAAGAATCCAAGTGTAGATCACGCGTAATTCAGTTCCTGAAGCAAGATTTTTTTTTCGAACTTGAATGAACATGACATTTTTAAGTGTTATTTGGATTATCCATTATATAATATCAAAGACTTATTTTGTTTATGTAATGCACGTCTTTTGCTTTTGCAAAATGGTTAATCCCCAAAAAAGGACCATGGGTGCGACGGTCATTTAAGGCATATTCACATTCTCTCCTGCACGAACGATAACTGGTATCCGTATAAAAGGCGTATATTACTCTTCTACACATTTTAACTTTCTCTCCTTTTTCACCCTTATGCATTTTTATAGATATAATTTCAAATAATTCTGGTATTTCAGAGAAAAAAGAAAAAAAAATCAAAACTTTTCCAAACTTGCCGGGCTATGTTCAATGAGGGATTAAATCGGATAGCTATTGGTGTAATGAGAGTGATAGGTGACCCTTAAACATGTATATGTTTGTTTATTATTTTTATTAAACTGATATACGCACTTCTTCAAAGATGAACTCGATTGATCGATAGCTAAAAGATTTTATGATGACATTTCGTGGAATTTTCCAGTTCCCTGTTTTCAATAAATACATGGACAATGCATTTGGGTATGTATCAGTGAAGTTTCCCTGTAAAAAGAAAATGTTTATGAGTTCAAGAAAAAATGCAAAATTTATAAATACAATTATGGAGAAAAAGATAACAAATGTAATTCCAGTGCATCCCCTCTATTCTGACCTTTTATCATATATACTCCCAATACTCCTTTTATTACTAATTATATAATTATACTTCCAATACTCCCCCGTTATTCAGACCATGTATAACTAACCATACGTCAATTTACTACATATTATCAGGCCGCCACTGACATTTTGTTTCATCCCAGTAACATTGGTTTGAATAGTAATCATTCCAAAGTTTTTGTTTTTACAGATGTGTACTACTGATTACCAATCTCTGAGTGAAGTGCATGTTTGAGTTTTAAGAATTTTACTGTACATACTTATAGATCACAGTTTTTCTTTTATTGACATTTAACCTGTCCATGAAATAAAAACCTCTGCCTGTGCTCAAAAGCAATTTTCTCAAAGTTTCCTGATCGCTGAAAAATGGTTAAGTGATGATCTTTTCTGCCAATGACTTTGAACTTATCCAGATTTATAATCTTGAAAATCAGAAGTAGGTTGGTCATAAGCAATGCAATGTAAATCATATACGCTATGTAATGTAATTATAAACTTAAAGACGACCTTGAAGATACTAAGTATCCATATGACATTGGGTGAAAGTGATGATATACCTGCATTTCATTTTTTAAAATCATGATAGACTATTGTGAATTATATTTATATTATGGGCATAAAAGCACGCAGACAAAGTTATTCTAACTAAATTGCATAACCTTCATTAAAAAGGTGTGTTTACAGACATCGAGTTCTGTGTACTTACAAAAATTTTATTGTTTGAGCCATTTGCATTTTGGTACATATAAACTGAAAATAAAGAAAAGTTTATAGATTATAAAATTATCTATAGATTATAAAGCATTTTAAAAAAATCTTCACAGGAGAAATACAAAATATACACAACAAACCTCCAATCAAAAGATAGCAAACCAGTGCGTCCACATTTTCGAGGTCGTAAGATATGTCCTCGAGTTTAGTTATTTCATCTTCCAAATCATCTTGGTCATAACACCCAATGTCGTAATCTTTGGGAAAAACCTCTATAACCTTCCAGGGATTTTTCAAATCCAGTTTATGCTCAAGAGCTTTAATATAGTATCCTTTATCTTCCATTATCAAAATGAAAACATCTTTTGTCTTTTTCTAAAATAAGAAGTTAGAAGCAAAACACAGTCATGAGATTTCAATTCAGAAAACATAGCACTTTATAAACTTCTGATATGCAATTCATTGTACATTTTAACTACTGATAACCTTGAAGCTTATGACAGGGATTTTGTTCATGGACACACTCCTGAGGACATCGTCATGGGTGACTCCGTTCCTAATTGAAATACATGCTGGTAATGGAACTCTTCCACTCAGATCTAAAATATAAGTATTGGTATTCAACTTGTTTTAAATACATGATGCACTGAACAAACATCCTGATTGGTAATTTCGTTGGATATAACGATATTAGCGTTTCCTGCAATATTGACTCCAAAGGAAAAATTGAAGATGGTACCTGATGTTCTTAAAACTGGATATAGGTATGTTATTAGTAACTGGCAGATCCCCTCAATTACATAACATATTTTCATATAATTAAATACGAAACTAAAACATCTCAGTTGTATAACTATGAAATCAATTTTTTGGAAGAAATATATTCCTGACCAAGGGTTTATAAAGAGGACAGAAGTGAAAATTAAACCATCACAAACGCTTAAAATATATATCAATTTTTACAATGCTAGTGATGGGTAAGTATTTTTCATGTGTTAGGTGGATCCTTTTATTTTTCATTTATAGAACAATGCAACTTCTATAATGGACTTCTTTTTGGAAGCTGGAATATAAACAATTATTACAAACAGGTTATGAATGTACAAAAAATATATCTAGTAGAATAGATTGACAAATCGCGTCCCTAGGCTCATGTCGGATGTTTTATTTTCTATTTCAAATTTTTTTTTCATAATGTTACTTACAAATACAAGTAATAAACTTACGTTGAAACATACGCTGAAAATATATCAGCTCGTCTTCATCCTCGGATGTGTCTCCCCTGATAAATTTCTTTAAACCCAATTTTGTCAGCTCCTGATATTAAATGCCAATAGATATTTGTTGATTTCTGTGTTTACAATTTTTAATTTTAATCATAACGTTCATTGAATTAGCTCCACTGCATAAGGATTAAAACAGAAGAAAAGAAAAAAGTTTTACTCTGAACTTAAAAAGGCATTTTAAGTTGCCTTAAAATATTTATTCTTAATGACATGCACATTGCCAAATTTCATCACGAAAATTATTTTTTGTTTGTTGTTTAACGTCCCTCTCGAGACTTTTTCATTCATATGGAGAAGCCACCGCTTGCCGATGGAGGGCTGCAAATTTATACCTATACTCGGCACTTAAGACCATTGAGCAGCGAGGGATCTTTCTTGTGCCAACCCCTACTGCGACACGGGACCTTGGTTTATACAGTCTCATTCGAAGAACCGGTCTCCACGTCCCACATTGGATTCGAACCCGCGACGTAAGGATTAGCTCCTTACTCCGCGACTCTAGAGCAGACGCTCTAACCGCTGCGCCACGCGGGCGACATCACGAAAATTAGATTTTTTAATACTTGAAATATGGCCATCCTTCTTGGCTAAAATCATGAATAGCCATCTGCCCGTCCGAATACTGAATTTTAAAGTTTCAATTTAGAATCTTTTATAAAAATGCTAAGTTGCAGAACGAAAATATGTATATTATGATGATTTCTTTCTGATACTTTTTCAATTCACAAAGGAGGTAACCGGAATACATATGTTTGTGCAAATACATAAAGTGTTTTAAACTGTTTACAACCAACAGGAATTTAACATTCAAAGACAAAAATAGCGTCCTTATTTTCACCTTAAAGAAATGAATTCTAGCCTGACATTACCTGTATTATGACATTTTCTGTATTTTTATGGATAACAACTACTTCTTGAAAAAATAAAACCCTTTCAATGGCTAGCTGACATGGCAAACGACTTTTGTCTGTAAATTATGCATATAATTAAAAGTCAATTCAATAAATCTAAGCCAATGGAGAAAAACAAAAATGCGAGCAAATGAAATAGTTTGGAGCTTATAAATTGTGGACGTTCATCGTGTCGAAACACGGACGTGTGCTGATAAATTAATTAAAAAAAATTCTTTGTTGCACACTTCCCCATAGCTGTCCGTATAACGACACGATGAACATCCAACATTTACAATTCAATGCTTATATTTACATTTAGAAATACCTTAATTGAAGTGTAATCTTACTTGCTGAAAATCAATTTCTGTCAAATGTTTTACACAGTGAATATAATTGGATTATTGGTACCTACGAGCAAATTTTCTCACATCTGCCAGAGCTTGAAATATATGTTCATCGCTGTTGGGTTGTTCCCTTGAAGTGTCCTCGGGAATATTTGCAAAAATCAGATAAAGACTGTGTTGTACTCCAAATGAAGACGACAGATTCTCTCTTTGATACCAAAGCTCAACAACAATTGTTGCCTGCAGAAATTATACGATTCACAATTTAAACACAAAGATTGAATGTAAATATTTGGAAGATATTTACATTTACGCTATAATAAAAATTATGTTTCTAAGAAAAAATGTGTCGCCTGCGCTTGATATATCTTATTTTAAAAAGAAATGGGATGTTTGTTGTACAGGGTCAAAGGTCCCGTTAGTAATTACAAATTATTTAGAGAGTTCCTCTATTATGCTAAAGTATAAAGTCTATGTGAATAATTGAATATTAAAAAGAGAAGATGCTACATACCATAGAGGTACCGAAGATTACATATTAATGCTGCATGCAGAGTAAGAATGGCGAAAATAAAATTTTTTATACCTGCTGTTTTCCTTCCTGTCTAGCTTTGACATATCCTTGGATATCTGAAAAAAATAAGCATTTTTCAGAAGAGAGAATTAATATTATATTTCTTATATTCATCTTTTTTTTCATTAGATCTTTAAAGAATTGAGGAATATACATAATATTTAAAGAAAGCAGAATTGACAAGGAGATCATTAAACAACATGGTAAGCTCGGCCATAAACTCACAGCCATAAAGCTTGAAAATAATTTGAATATTACTTTTCATTTTTTAAGCTACACAATGGTGATTTTTCCTCTATATAACCTAGTTTTCATAGTTACCTTTTCCCAAATCAGGTAGATGGGTTGGATAATAGCAGTAATATTTCAATTCCTTCTCAATTTGAAAATCAGTGAATGGTCCTCTGGCTTGGTTCTGAAATTGGAGTGAATAGTATCGTTTATGATGTTATTTACATTCACAAAAAATTGTAAGGGAATTCTAAGTTTAAAACCAGTTCATCTACTCTGGTACATTGGTTCTACATGGTTTCATCCTACTTTCCTTTAATCCCCCCTTATAACAATGGAAAATAAATATTTTAAACAAGTTTAATCCCTTTCAACAGGAATTGTTTATGCCGAATTTATTGGAATATATACTAGAGGTGTTTTCATAAGGAAAGTTCCCTTGAGTGAAATAAAATAAACTGAGCAACAGAAGCTGACATGAACTTCGACTCTGTTAATGTGATTCAACATTTAAAATCAAATCCCTTTTGAGATCATCAACCAAATACCTGATGCAAATTTAAACTAGTGCTAATTGTAACGGGAACCGTTACAGATGTTCCCCAAACGGCCTCCCAAATCCCTTATGATGCCCCATTTTCTACAAGCTTCAATAAATTAGACAATACTTTTGTAATATAGATGGACACTTTATTTTTAAGGGTATTTCATTGGAAAACTACTCCGATATAGCCATATGGGTATTAGCCAATCAAATTTCAGCGCATGTGCTTGCACATGTTTTCTACATTTTTCACTTTAATTTTCTTATAGTGTCTCACAATACATACAGTTGTGTTAAATATTAAAGAATTTCATTGAAAAATAAGAGAGATGTAACCCTTTAAGTATTAGCCAATCAGAATTCAGCATACGCACATGCAGGTCCTTGCATTCAATTTTGATAGTATTATAATGTAGGAGCTCTAAGTGCCTATCCATGTCATAAATTTCATCCTGTTTTGTTGAAAACCAAGGGAGTTATAGACATTTAAAGTTTCAACCAATCAGATTGCAGCACACCTGCATGCGCGTGTTTTCAAGAAATTTCCTATATAACATGTTGTAGCACCTTATAATATATACTTATATTCTAAATTTCAAAGTATTTTGTCAAAAAAAAAAAATTATTGAGATTTTTGTATCAGCCAATCAGAGAAGAGCGCACGTGCATGCGCGTGAGTTCACGCTAATTTGACCATGTTATCTTGTCTAGACTACTAATGTATCTTTATATTTTGAGTTTCAAAGCAATTCATCAAGAAATATCAAAGTTACGGCTTCATCAAGTATATCAGTCATTTCACTCATTGCACGCGCGCGCACGTGCATGCATGTGCGCGCAAAATGACCTTCGTTCCGAACACCTACACAACATGCCTATTAACCCTAAAAAGGTTTCATGTCAATCGGATGAGTGGTCCTATGAGAACACTCGCGGACAAAAAAGTACCGGAGAAGAAAGTAGAAAAAAAGAATAATAATAATAATAATAATAATAAGAAACAGAGTAAAAACAATATGTTCCCAAACTTCGTTTGGGGAACATAAATATCCCATTTTCAACCTTTATCATGATATAACATGGAAATAACTGACATTTTAGCGACAGTAGCCAACCTTTTATCCCTTGATACCAGATATAATGATCTTGATCGACCATAGAACTTATGAAATGATGACTTTAAACGAGACTGCTGATATTCTTGTTTCATAAACTTGTTTGTCAATAATTTACCTTATTTTAAAAATTGAACCTACGTAGAGTATGCTTTTGCGTATCGAATCAACTGAGAGATATATACCCCGCATGAAGGTGGTGAAGGTATATTGCTGCGTAAGTAAGGGAAGTTGACGATTGAAATGTTAAAGTCATCACGTTTATCACAAAGCTTGGTTGTAAGATTACCATTAACGTCTTTTTCAAGTAAAATATCCAAATATGAAACAGATGTGTCAGACTCTGTGGTATCTTTTATCTCAAGCTCACCGGGATATATTGTATCGACATAAGAATGGAAATAGCCATTGTTAATTGATAATACGTTGTCGATTTATCTAAACGTCGAGTTGAAGGCCACAGCAAGTGTTTTCTTCTTTTCACGTACAAGATTTTGGACAAAAACTGCTTCATACGAATACAAAAAAAGGTCTGCTAATAACGGGGCGCAATTGGTACCCATGGGAATTCCAATAGATTGTTGGAAGACCTGGTCTCCAAAAACCACATAGATATTGTCAATCAGAAACTCAAGCATCTTTTTAATGTCAATTTCGGAGTACTTTTGTGTACAATCAGAATGTTTTTTAACAAAATAATTTTGTCGCCCGCGTGGTGCAGTGGTTAGAGCGTCTGCTCTAAGAGTCGCGGTGTAGGGAGTTGATCCTTACGTCGCGGGTTCGAATCCCACTGTGGGACGTGGAGACCGGTCTTTCGGATGAGACCGTATAAACCGAGGTCCCGTGTCGCAGTAGGTGTTGGCACGAAAAAGATCCCTCACTGCTCAATGGCTGTAAGTTCCGAGTATAGGACAAAATTTGCAGCTCTCCACCGGCAAGTGGTGGCGTCTCCATATGACTGAAAAATTCTCGAGAGAGAGGTTAAACAACATTCAAACAAAACAAACAAACGAAATAATTTTGCAAATGACCAATGACAAGGTAAGTAAATTTACGAGTTCCATTTTTATTGAAAAAGCAGCTGTCAATGATATCAAAAAGCCTGGACTTTAATTTATCGTGGGGATTGGTTGTGTATAAAGATGAAAAGTAGTAAGTTTTTAAGCTGTTGATTTTGGTAAAATCTTGCGATTTCAAATTTTCCAAAAGTTCCATGGAATTTGTAAGTATCCACATCTCATTTACACCACTTCTCGAATATATTGTTGCACAGTATTCTTGAAGTTTCTCCTTCACTACTGTTAAGATATTAGTAAGGAGTAAAGAAAGAGGCTTGGTTGAAAATTTACTGGAACCCCCTATGTGTCTTTGTTTGTAAGAATTTTTATGAAGTTTCGGAATCCAATATGAATATGGTAATTCAAATTCATTTTGGTTGTTTGGAATATTAAATATATTCAAAACTGACATATGATTTTGAAGAATGTATTCCTTAGAAAGGGAAATATGAGTATAAGTTGGATTACCACTTGTAGAATTAAATCCAAGTTCCTTTAAAATACATTTAATATAATGAGCCTTACAAACAAAGACAATGTTGTTACCTGCTTCATTTCATCCAATTTCAAATTTCTCTTCTTCGTAATGCTCTTAAAACAGGGTAGAATGTTGTTGACCCCATGCCCCTCCCCACGTTTGAAATGGGATATAATAAGATGAATTGAACCTATTTTGCTAGCCCACTTATTTGTTAAAAGAATGAGTACCTCGTCTTTCTCTCTGTCCACAACAACAACACATCTGGCATTGTTTGTTTTGTAATGGCATATACTCTCTACAGTACCAACTACTCCTGAAAAAAAAAGAATACTGAAAAAATCAGTATTTTGATAGTTGTATCTTTTTTGTCGGATAAGGTGTACATGAGAGACAGCATGACTTCTTATAATATTGTTTTAATTTACCAGTTTCATCTCCTATTTTCTGTACTATGGCTCCTCTGAATATCCCAAGGGCTGTTTTCATTGTTAATGATTGCCGCGTTGTCTTTAAAACTGTTCTGTAAAAAATATCGTCGAGCTATTTCATAGAAAGTTAAAAGATGTTCTCGGATGTGAAAGTTGATCATGGGTTGATGTGTTATTAAATCTCATTTATGTTATAACTTTCTTGAAAAGATGCAAATAAATTAACAACGCAGAAGAAAAGATTCACTGATTTCCTTTTTTCACTCATTTGATATGCTAACTCACTAAGAAATTCAAAGGAAGCTTAATATATGAAGTCAGTTAAATATTGAACATTACTGGCTTTCATAAAATTTCAGGGGGGGGGGGGTCTATACACTGTTCATATCGTATGCTTTCTTTTGAAAAGGGATGCAAATTCTAGTGTATTTAAATAAACAGGTTTGTAAAAGTGTCAAATATCAATAACCAAAATATGTTATGCTAATTAGGATGTCAGAATCTCAGATACTAGTAGACCCTAACCATATCTACTCTCTTTTCATGCCTTAAAGCCTCACTGGTTGGGAACCAAGAAATTCACAAGATACGTCTTTCTTTTATTGTTTAGTACACTAGGAAATTCAAAGGAAGCTTAATATATGAAGTCAGCTAAACATTGAACATTACTGGCGTTCATAAAAAATTCAATGGGGGTGGGGATGATTGTCTCTATATACTATTCATATCGTTTACTTTCTTTTTAAAGGTGCTTGGATACAGATTTGAAGTTAATATTTTCTCAAATTTTCTGTATAATTTCATGACATATATGTTGCTATAGTATTTTATACTAAAATATAATAAAAATCTTATTTCATCTCGAAGTTATTAAAACTTCGAATTTCTGGACGCGTTGGACTGACACATCCCAGCGCTTTCACATATTTTAATTTTATTCTTAATACTTAAGAAAAGTGGCAATTTTGTTGTGTATTAATGAAAAATATTAAAACTATAACCCAGAAAATTCAGAGTAGAAATGTTCGAAAGCAAAACCCACTCACAGTATTGTAAGTCCGTGCTCAGTGGTGTGTGCAGAGTTTAACAATTGAACATACCCGGTGAATCGTAAACAATAACAGAGCTCGTGCCCTGTTTGCAAACACAGTTTACGTTTCACGGGTGTGTTCAACTTGTTAAACTCTGTACACATCACAGAGCACGGACTGACAATACTGGCGAGTTGGTTTTACTTTTAAACATTTCTATTCTGAATTTTCTGGATTATAGATGTAATATTTTTGATTAATACATAACGAAATCGCTTCTTTTCTTAAATATTAAGGATAAGGTTGCAATTTGTGTAAGTGCAAAGATGTGTTTATCAAACGCGTCCCGAAAATCGTAGTTCCAATCATATCCAGCTAAAATAAGTTTTTAATTATATTTTCGTGTGAAATGCTATTGCAATATATAAGTCGTGATATTATACAGAAAGTTTGAGAAAATATTAAGTTCAAATCTTTAAAAGGGATACAAATTCTAGTGTATCTAAATAAAATCAAAGTACTGAAAGCACTGGGAAGCGCTAAGCATGTTGCAATTTGAAATTCATCAGAATTACTTTGAATTTAAATTGCCTGTTGTATTGGAATTTAAGCAATATCTTGACAGTGCGGCTGCGCTAGGGCGAGCACAGCTGTTTGATACATAATCAAACATGTGAGTCATGAAAATTTCCCGTTGGAATATGAAATTCAACATTGTCTTATGCCTTTTTATTTTAAGCATTTTACATTTTCTTCCTCTGTCAAAAGGTCAATCAATTTCACATACATGAAAAAAATATTCCTCAGTTTCTTAAAAAAAAAACAAATTAAATGGCAGATATTTACTCCTGTCCAAACTGCAACGTATTTCTCAAACTTAATGAAAAAAAAAAAACAAACAAAAAAATGTAAACATATTATGTTTCTCCATCTCCTTATAGGAGTCGATAAGAAGTAGCTTTGCGTATATATAGCAATTTATTGGAGGGGGATGGTCGACGAGTTTTCCGACCAAATTTAGACTATACATGTTGGTATACATTTGCTGGAAAATGTAAATTTCTAAATAATTTGGAACAATTGAAAATATCGCTGAAATTCCTCTCATTTATGTGCAACACCGACAGCTAAAATGTTCTGGTAATAATTTTTAATGATAAATTCATTCCGTGTTTTCGAGTGTTTCATATTGAAGATTGGCTGTTAGTGACTGTGCTTTAATTTTAGAAACTGCACTCGGAAAACAAAGATGCCATTTGTTTATTGCGTCGATAAATATTTCCTAATTGATAACATATAAATAAAACATCTCAAAAATATCGAATACTAGTATTCTCACTAAATTCTTTTAATTAGTATATCTCTTTTTTTTCAAATTCATAAGCGATTTATAAATATACGTTTTACAGCAAGGATTTTACAACAAATACATTAATGGAGTGTGCAAGATATTTACACAATCGCTACGATTGTCCAGTATTTATTAATGATAAATAAAACTTAGACTACATGTATATATTACATTTTGTTTTGAAAATGCTACAGCTGTGTATTATACATTCATCGTGCTGTGTAGCATATCGGCATCATGTTTGTAACAACGTCATTTGACAAAACCCTATATCAATGAAATGAGCACCCGTAGAGTAAACGTCCTTTTGTCAGAGATAATTGGTAAATATACATTTTGAGTATAAAGATATTATATTTGTCTTCTTCGTTTGATGATAAAACATTCGGTGCTATCCTTTTATCTCTGATAATCATATACATGATTTATAATGTATTTGCAACAGAAAATTGTCTTTGTTGGTCTCACATTATGTATATCTGATTTGTAAATATTACTTTTTTAAATTTAAAATTTTATTATAATACTTTTCTTCTTCAGATTAAAAATATGTCTTTAAACCCCCAAAAGTATTTTGGACTATTGTTGAAATACTTTAAAATGCCTCAGTATTTTTTTTTTTACGGACGTTTGATGCTTTACACCATTCTTTACTTGTTTATGTATGATTTTAACTACCACGCAAAACGTGTTTAGAAGAAAACAAGATGTGTTTGTGAAACACTGATGCCCCCGTATGGCAGCTTATGGCGAAGATTAAAGTTTCTCAAATGCAAGTCAAAATCCAGGCCAAAAGATAGAAAACGTTAAATTTGAAAGCCCTAGCTGCAACTGTTCAAAAGTTACGGCGAAGGTTAAAGTTTTTTAAAAGTAAGTAAAACATCAAGGTCAAGGTCAAAGTTGTTGGTATCCAAAGGAATGTCTTGTCACAAGGATTATATATGTAAAGTATGAAAGCCCTAGCACCAACCATTCAAAAGTTACGGCGAAGGTTAAGGTTTTTTGAAAGTAGACCAAAATCCTATGTCAAGGTCAAAGGGTCAAAGTGGTTGGTATCCAAAGGAAGGTCTTGTCATAAGGATGACATATGTGAAGTATGAAAGCCCTAGCACCAACCATTCAAAAATTATGGCGAAGGTTAAAGTTTTTCAAAAGTAGGTCAAACTCCTAAAAGTAAGTAACTTAAAAGTAAGTAAAACTCCTAGGTCAAGGTCAAAAGGTCAAAGTGGTTGGTATCCAAAGAAAAGTCTTGTCACAAGGATTACATATACGAAGTATGAAAGCCCTAGCTCCAACCATTCAAAAGTTATGGCCAAGGTTAAAGTTTTTCAAAAGTAGGTCAAACTCCTGGGTCAAGGTCAAAAAGGTTGATATCCAGAGGAAGGTCTTGTCACAAGGAATATACGTGTGAAATTTGAAACCCCAAGCACCAACTGTTCAAAAGTTATGGCCATGGTTATAGTTTTTCAAAAGAAGATCAAACTCCAAGGTCAAGGTCAACAGGTCAAAGTTGTTGGTATCCAAAGGAAGGCCTTGTCAAAAAGAATACACATATGAAGTTTGAAAGTCCAAGCACCAACTGTTCAGAAGTTATAGCCAAGGTTAAAGTCTCATAAAATTTTGCAAAAATGGGTCAAACTCCAAGGTCAAAGTCAAAAGGTCAAATATGATGGTACCCAAAGAAATGTCTTGTCACAAGGAATACACATGTGAAATATAAAAGTCATAGCTCCAACCAATCAAAAGTTATGGGCAAGGTTAAAGTTGACAACAGACAGACAGACAAACAGATAAACAGACAGACAGGACAAAAACAATATACCCCCGGGATCTTTCGATCCAGGGGCATAAAAATATCCACAGCACCGTTGTGTTAGTTGAAAAGAAATACTGAAAATAATTGCCCGTAATTTTTCTGCTATTTCCATGATAAATAATTCAACAGCCCAAGAAAGAAAATACAGTATATTAATCTCAAGTATTAATAAATCTTCATGAAGGTATACAACATTGTTTTATTCTGTTTTTATGGAGTCCTTATTAAGTTGCTTAGCAGTCAAAAACGGTAAACACGCGCACATCTTTACATAAACTATTTCTTCCTAGTTTCCTAATACAAGTATTACACTGTTTGCTTAACATTTCGTCGGCGCTTTCCTGTCCATTGCTAAGAACGTTTAATTAAGGTTTTTTGTATTTTTGCGTACTGCACACACAATTTTAAAGCACAGTATACCGAAAATTAGTTTTCCTATTTGAGTGATTCGCTGAAAACACAGCCACCACGTGCCCTACATGTACATACAGCCGCAAACTTCCTTTCCTTGCGAATTATTTACATCATATTTTTTACCCATATTACAAGTATAGAGTACAACACAAGTATAGACAGTCCATGAATGCATTCCAATATGTTACTAATTGATACTGAGATGCGAAAATCCATTTCATTGATAGCTCTCTGCATGGTGCAAGGGTGATAACAGGAAGATTTGTTTTTAGTTACCGGTACATTGTCTGAACTAAAGGTCTACAAGAAGAAATAATAGTTTATATGGATATAAGTTATATAGAACGTACACATGTAAGTACATTTGAAATCAATTTTATACGAAATTTTCTACTAAATAACTCAATTCCAGTTTGAGTTTTAAATACTTATTAAATTCCCATCTGAGTTTTAAAAGCATGTACCGGTACTCATTCAATCACTACATTACATGTACATGACATATAATAAACCGTTTTTGATTAATTATTTGCGTCACAGATGCAGCAATTGTTAGCTACATGGTACACAAGTGATGAATGCCGACACGATTTTAAATGAACTACAATTTTTAGAGATAAGCATGACAAGAACCGCCCTTATCTACTAACAGTGGATTTTCGTACAATGTACATGCATATCTTTACCTTACTAATTGATTCCTAGTATTAGAGCAGCACGTAACTCAGTATTACACTAAAATAGCCGAAAGAGAGTCGGGGATTTCCAGCTGTATATTTTTAGAAAACCCGGTGGAGTTATCTAACATGCTTAGTGGCACTGGATCGCGAACGGACGTAGATTTACGATGACAGAAAGCGCTTTGCGCTGCGCTTAGCGCTTAAAAAGTTAGTGAAAGTGTCAAATATCAATAACCCAATATATTTAGCTAATCACGATGTTAGATTCTCAAATAGACACTTATCATATTTACTCCCTTTGTGATGCTTTAGGGCCCAACTGGTTGGAACCAAGAAACCAGACCTGTTTACCCATATTGTTGTCTCTCAGTATTTTTCATTAGATTTGTCAGTGAGATTTGGCATTTGCCCGTAAGATTTCACTTTCAATCGATTTTACATCTTACTAGTGAACAACTACATTTCTGATTACCAAAACATGGTTTAATAACAAAGAAAATCTTTTCAAAGAATTGTTGTTCAGTTGCCCCCTCCCCCCCCCAAACACACACACACAAACACACTGAAACAACATTTTATGGGCCTGGAAATGTATATAAAATCTTGCAAGGTCCTTTTGATGTAAAATTATATTTAATTCAAGGTACATTCGTTCGTTATGAAAAACAACGTTAGCTTTCCATGAGATGCACTTTGAAGGTAAACGACGATCGAATTATCTATACCCCCATAAACCTTTAAGTTCCGGCCGAGGAGACCTGGTTTGCAGAGAAATGCTAGAAAACGCGTGAATGCGACGGACGTACTGCGAGATTCAACCTGATTTGATTTTATTTCAATAAATGACAGCTTCCGATGTCTGAGAAAAGTCCGACTTGGGCGAGAAATTCTCGCTATTAGTCAGAAAGTGCCCCTAAGCGGAATCCAACATGGATGCTAGTTTCATGCCTTGTTATGTTTATAGTATAGTAGATATATATTTTTTAACAATTAAGCTGGGGAGTGCCTATGAGAAAAACATCATACCTGGCTTTCTTTCGATGGGTTTCTGTCATTTTTTAAACCACAGCGATTTGGCAACCCAAATCACTTAAGTGTTTTAAATCTGTCTTTTTTGTAGGGATTAAAAAGCGTCAAACTGAGACAGATCAAAACGAAAACTAACTGCTAAAATTCAAATGAACGGATTTCTGATTTCCTTATTTTCATAATAGCAAAACGTGAGACGTATTTTGGACTCAAAATCCGTACAAAATACGGGGAAATCTTAAGAGTAAACAGGTCTGAGAAACTCACAAGTTATGTTCTTCTACTACTGTTTAGTACATATGTACATGTATTTGACGTATTATCATGTTCATTGAAAATGGCATTTCATTAGTGTTCCATAGATCGTTTGTTTACATTTTCTAGAACAGAACTTGCTAGAATGTTGTTTAACCAAAATATACTAAACACTTTTGGGTACAAAGCCTTGTGTATTCGTCTACACTTACTATTGATATTCTGTCACTTTGAAACTTTACTCATTTGATATTTACATCATACATCAACGGCACCATTAACCATCTTATTTTTTAATTCAATAAAGGACTGATCGTTTTCAGGGATTCAAACTTGTCATTTAAATGAATTGTTAAAATTGGAATTGTGTTATTGCTTTTTACTATGTTTTGGGGTTATTTTGACCCATAATAAATATTTATAGATGCTACATTCATAAATAAATAGAGGTGTCTCAGATAAGAAGCTTAAAATGTTCAAAATCAGTGATATAAACATATTCCTGAATCGAAAAATTACAATGTGTTCTTATTAGAAGTTTTCAGAAAATTATGAAACATATACCTTTTTGTTGGCTCTGTAATTCGTTGAAATATGTGGCCAAGGTGTCCATCTGTTCCAGACATATAACAAGGTGTACAAAGATCATAGTTAGGACACTGAGAACATTTCCATCTCACTCCTTTTATTCTCCTTCTGGTTGCACATCCATCACACATAGCATCTTGTTTAATCCCTATAATGAGAATGATTCAATGTTCATTTTGCAAAAAAAATATTGGAACTATATGAACAATAAAGATTTCATTTATGCTTTCATAAGTAGCTTTATTATGTTTACTTATTTGTCAAGTCTAAATTGTACAGCTCTAAGAAAAGTCGCAAAAACAAAACAAAAACACGTAAAAGACGAATAGAAAAAACAATGAATTACTTTTTTAGTCCTCTACTAGCACATAGTTCGAGTCTTGGGTGCTTTTAATTTCAGTCAAGTCGCCCGCGTGGCGCAGTGGTTAGAGCGTTCGCTCTAGAGTCGCGGAGTAAGGAGTTGATCCTTACGTCTCGAGTTCGAATCCCACTGTGGGACGTGGAGACCGGTCCATCGGATGAGACCGTATAAACCGAGGTCCCATGTGGCAGTAGGTGCTGGCACGAAAAAGATCCCTCACTGCTCTATGGCCATGAGTGCCGAGTATAGGTCCAAAATTTGCAGCTCTCCACCGGCAAGTGGTGGCGTCTCCATATGATGGGAAAATTCTCGAGAGGGACGTTAAACAATAAACAAACAAACAAAAATTTCAGTCAAAAAGCATGTTGTGTACACACCTGTCTGACTATTATCCAGAAGCAATACCTCCCCAGAACTGGTGTCAATATTTTCAGATATATCACCGTTATCCCATTGCACAGTTACAAGACAATGTTCAATAATCTTGGAATCATCTACAATGCTCTTAACCTGAGATAATCTTCTTTGGCGTCTGAAGGATGCCCGATCTATTAAGTTGTGTGCAGAATGTCTATTACTTTGGCGCCGAGGTCCTCGTTTAAAGCCCTGTGTCTCCTTTTCTATGTCCTAGTTTTTTAAGAAGAAACATGTCAAGTACATTGTCATGTCAATTTAGTGCCACCTCATTAAAAGTTCTTTTTTTGTTCAAAGCAAAACTTAAAGATCACATGCGTACTATACATGTCAGCTGGTCTTCCTTTATTTGAAGCGTTATTTTGTTTGAGCAGATTTGGAAAAAAATGTCCATAACATATCAAAAGTTTAAAATGTTGCAGCTGCCGCAGAAAAAATACATAACCAGCGTAAGCGAGTCATGTAATTTTTTTTCTGCAATGGCTGCAACGTTAATTCCCATACTGACAATGACATTTTTTGTTTATATTTATATCTATATAAATAAATCATATTAAGTAGGATTAAGTACGTTAAATTATTTATTATTGAAATGCATGTCATTGAATGTTTCATTGATGGAAGAACCGCTGCCAAAGAAATCTATACAGATGCCTTGCTTAGCGACATTTACTGATTAACAACCGTTGTTTGCATAAAGAAATAAAGATAATATTTAGTGGATGTATATACAAGTTTTATCCAGCATATAGTTATATGAAATGTCACACCTTCTTATTAATCTTATTCCCTGCTCCTGGGGTATAGGTTCGATAATATTTGAATCTACATAAATGATTTCGTGACATTTCGATATTTCTTATAAAATCTTATGGAGATTGAACCTTGCATTGGCCAGAATCACCTTTCTAATAAATTTGAATTTTGAGTGTGTAATGACCCTAAATATATCTTGAGAGTAAACAGTTTAATAAGAATTATATATGAAAATTTAATTTAAAAAATTTATACATTGCAGTAATGTATAAGTTAAGATCAATGTTCAGAAATGAATGAAGGTTTCTTTCTATTATTGATTTAAAATACGGATATTTTTCTTCTAAAAGTCTATATTAAGATTAATTATTTTCTTTAACATAATAAACTGTTATGAAACACTATTTCAATCAATCGTATAATAGAAAAAAATATCCATGTTTCTTTTTTCTGTCTCACTTGAATAATTGCTTATTTTACCTAAAATGGATTGATGCATTTGTTTTATAAAAACAAACCTTTACGAAAGTTATCGTTCCTACAATTGCTTCTCTCAAGTTTGTTTTCTTCAACACGCGTACTCCTTCTGTTGCATTAGCTTAAATGATAAAGAGATTAAGAGATTAAATTACAGAAATCTTAACACTTAAAATTTTTAAGGCTATCTGATCTTACAAGAGGGACATGAACTCTGACGTATATCTGAGAATAAATTTTCTTTTAATGGGATCAATTTCACCTCACTTTGATATATTAAGTATAATTAACACAAACAATTTTTTTCCTTAGAAACTGGATAATCTTTATGTATTCGGAAGCCTTTTTCACTAAAGAAAAAGTATCTGACCATCTTACAACTTATGATTGAACAATTCACCAAAAATGGGGGAAAGTGAGAAAATGTATGTTTATGTTTCAATTTTTAAAAAAAAAGGATCCAATATATTCTCTTCAATCTTTATGAACAATTTGTAATTATACAGTTATGAAGAACATTCTCCTGGGTCAAATATTTTATTGAAGACAAACAAAATTTTCTTATTGGCTTTCAAATGAAAGCAATATTGAAAAAAAAAATGATAAAAATTGATGTAAAAAGTGTATAAACAATCCTAAAATATGTTGATATTTTTATGAAGTCTTTACAATAGTACTGATTTTGAAGAAAAAAGGAATTGGGTACAATTTCCACACTAATTAAAACAAGAAAAAATAATTTACACAGAAAAAAGAAATTTATTGAACAAGGTCAAGAAACAGTTGTCCCCTCTAAAGTCTGCATGCTGTCCGAACAAATCTGATTATTATCGTCAAAATTGATTATTGTGATACCGTGCTGCTTCTTTTTTCCTTCAAACGCCTTTCTTAAACGCTTATATTTGGATGTGCTAGTAAATCTCCCGGACTTACTTCTGCACATGTTAACATTAACTACACTTTCCGGTTTTATAAAATAGGAACCAATGTTAACAAAAACACTGCGAATTCCGGAAAAAATGTTAGTGTAACTCTTTTATGCGGAAGATAAGAAAATTTGTTTGTGGTATGTATCGTTAACTTATATATTAAAATGTACCGAGGACTTCATAAACACTTTCAAATTCATTAAGCTTCTTCCTAGGTGATCAAGAGTTGCAAAGATTTTAAAAAGGAAAGTGAGTTATCTATTATGGCAGACTCCGTGCCTTCATCAATTCTAGTGCAAATAGCTTTCTGTCTCCATGTGTAAACATTACTGGCTAAATAACCAAAGAACCATTTTTTATGTTCTTACAGTGTATCAAAGCTTCTCGTTTGCTCTTACTTGAAATATATTGAGTATTCATTCTAACTGTGAATCATTATATACATGTACGGTTTGGTTTACATTTGTCATGTGCTTATAAAGTAGATTATTATGTAAAAGGATTGTCATGCGTACCCCAGAAGAAATCCAAAATGCATCACTCTTTAAAATGAAAACTTGGACAAAAATGAAAAAAAAATTACCTTTATGGATTTCCTGCAAATGATCCTCAAAGTACGGCACTTCCCCGGGCATTTTGTATTTGATATCCACTTTTCCTTCCCGTCCTATCCTGTATTGCTTGGTGGATACTCCATTGTTCCATGCCACTTTGGCATCGCAATTATAAACAGTAGCTATGTCATTATCAATACAGTTGACAGTTCCTACAAAAGAAGTCACTTTATGAAAACTTATTTTATTCATCAAACGACAAAGCCTCTTACATTTAATTAAGGAATTCTTTCCAATTTTCGTTCTCATTCATTTAAGAATGTGGTAAAAATATCTTGCATATTTTGGAAAAAATACTGCTGAACAAGACTAAACCGGTATAATCAAAAAGAGTTCATTATCATATTGATCGTCAATTAACAATGGTTATATCCATTCTTATATCAATACGATATATCCAGGTGAGCTTGAAATAAATGATATAACAGAGTCTGACACATATGTTTCATATTTAGATATTTTACTAGAAAAAGACGTTAATGGTTTTCAAACAACCAAGCTTTATGATAAACGTGATGACTATAACTTTTCAATCGTCATCTTCCCTTACTTATGTAGCATTATACTTTCATCACCTACATACGGGGTATATGTTCAAAAATCCCTCAATTTATTCGATAAGCAAGAGCATGCTCTACGTATGAACAATTTCTAAAATGAGGTAAGTTATTGACAAACAAATTGTTGAAACAATGGGGATGCTCACTCCTCCATGGCACCTGATCCCACCTCTTATGTTTTAGAGGTCCGTGTTTGCTGTGCTCCCAAATTTGTATCGTTTAATGGATTTTTGAGCTTGAATACTGTTCATAATCTCCATATATTTCATTTATGTTTCTTTATTCAAAATGAATTATTTCATGCTGTATTGAATAAAATGCTTTAACGTTTAATTTTCATTATGTGAAATGATCGATGTAGACACAAAGAGTTACCTTTCAGTTTTGGATCTTTCCTTGATTTAACATTCACATCTTGAAATATTCCATTTGCTACAAGGTAATCTAAATCAGCACGCATTCCTACGCTTACACTGTAACATATGATATCTATCATGATAATTAGAAATATTATACATATGTGAAATAGTATCGTCCTAAAAATATTATCAAAAGAATTGCTGTTCACGTTTGAACAAATAATTGAAGGTTCATATTGACTCGAATTTATATTTCAATGACCAATTAATGTAGATGTATGATGCAAATAAGAAAGGAAACACTTGATGTGGCCTTCAAGTCCACATTCAGATATATAGACAGTTTTATCAATTATCAACCAATTATATGTCGAATCGATTTATCCGATATATTGCAGTGAATTTGAAGTGGCACACACCATAGAATCTCCCACATCTGTGTCATATTTAGATATTTTACTGACTTAAGACGGTAAGGGCCAACTAGCAACTAAACTGTATAACAGACGAGATGACTTCAGCTTTTCGATCGTCCAATTTCCTTATATATGTAGTAATTCCGCTATCACATGCAAAAGGTGTTTGCTTCACCCAACTTATTTGGCACTAAAGAGCAATCAATTTTCAACTGATCCAGGCTACTGAGAGATAAGTTGGCGTTACAGGGATTTTAACAAGTACGTTTAAAGTCAGCATTTCGTAATTTTTTTATGTTATTTATAATGACCTTGTTAGCAAGTATATATCATTAGATCCTATTTTGGCTGACGTGTTTTATACTAATTGTTAGACCTTTGTGTTTATACTAATTTGCTTACAGTATGTTCCATAAACCTTATCAATACATAGGGTTCAGGGCGGATGTGACCGGTCAATAGGGGATGCTTACCCCTGTTAGGCATATGACTCCACCTTTGGTATTTAAGGGAGTCGGTGTTTTTTTCTCTCAAAAAATCGAATTAGATTCAACATGAACAAAAACAGAAAGTTTTCAATGCCTACATTTGTTTATTCAAAGTTTGAAGATAATAGAGTGTGACTTTCACTTGATACACTGAGAGTCACAGAGAACCTGTTTTCTTCCGAAATTTTATCAAAAAATGTACTCGATCAATGACCAGGTTATTTCATAAAGCTATAATGTGAAGATAAATATGCCAAAACTACACCTCATTGTTTTCATTCCCTGGTGTCTTTCGAATGCATGGTCTAAATCATGCTCATCACACATGTAACAGTCTGTACACAAGTCAAAGTCTTCACAATGCAAGCATCGCCACCTCATTCCCCGTAGTGGTGTCTCGTCACAGCCATCACATTGAACAAATTTGTGATATACGCCTAAAAATTAAAGATTCATGTAATTTCGTTCCATATTTCTAATAGAACAATTACGCAGTTTTGTTATGGCTTCCTGGAGCTTTCAAATTTGTTCAAAACATAACACTGCATTATGAGGTCAGTTTTGATTTTATTTGTGGGTTATGCCCTGAAATACTGCCATTTCATATAGAGGATTCTCTCGGATATATATATTTACATAATATCGCATGACCTCGTTGATCAATGACGGTCAATTATAATTCTTTTAATTGTTTCACGTAAATCGCTTCCGTGCAGCTGATCAACACATCATTTACTTTTTAAATAAATAAACTCATCGTACCCTATTGAACCGAAAATTTGAATGGGAAAAATATAAGTATTACTTGGGTAAAAAATATGCCAGAAGTTAAACTTTACGACTCCTTCGAGGGTATTATTCCACTCTTTATCATAATCTGTCTCAAAACGTTTTACGAAACCATAATACATTTTTCCAATGCAAGATTTTTCGTATGGATTCCCACCAAGGACCTTAAATTAATCTCTATTAATCTCCAGTGCCAGACTCTTATATGCACACATTATAAATTCTACATGTAACCAATGATATGTAACTGAGTTTGTATCAATGGTATATTTTCCTAAGCATTTTGGACATGCTGAATTTCAAAAAGGTCGGTAAGCGAAGTATTTTAAAATATTCGGATATGCAAGATTTACATTAACAAGATAGAAGAAAATATTTGACTGAACAAGGAATCGAACCCTGCATCACTAGTCAGGTGCTTTACCAATGAGCTACCAAGGCTGATATGTACGGCCCAAACTACTACATCCCTCCCTCCTTAGATTGTCTTCGCCCTCAAACACAAATTCTTTTTTTCACTGGCAGGAATTCCCCCTGGAAGTCAAGGGATGGTCAAACGCTCCAAATTATATAAAAGAAGAGGGAAAATTATATGGTTGGACCGGTAATAAAACCCAGGACCCCTGCTTTACATTCTGGTGCTCTACCAATAGAACTATCAAGGCCGATATCAACGACCTAAACCACTACATGCAAATATAATAAGATACCTGAGTTTTGCTAAAGAGTTCTTAATTTCTACATGCAGTTTGAAACAAGGTGTAAAGTTTATGACACTATCCTCGTCATAACAGTTCAATTTTGCAGTTAATTGACGTCCTTTTCCATTATTACATCATACAGAGGCACTTGTGAGAAGTGAAGGCACAGAGTACAATGTGATATTCTATGGGAAGACTTAACCTCCTGTGAATTAATCAATTAAATAATTTTTTCGGTGTAAGACCTAGACGTTTTCGAATAAATTGCTTTTGCACCATTTACACTTGGTGATAATAATGCCTTAAATTTAGTATACCGAGAAAGGTAAAATATAGTTGAATCTGTTTAATTTATGGGTTTAATGAACGTCAGAAGGCAACATTTTACAAGAAGGCAACAATGTTATATTTTTGTTAACTTTTATGTACATTATTATTATTATAAAAGATTTAATTAACCGTTATATTCAAATTGCTTTTTCGTGTGGATAAAATTCATGCGTAAGATTCATCAAATAGTTCTCGAAAATTGCTCCCAATTATGTTCGCATACATTCAATAGTCTACCTGTCTGCGCGTTATCAAAAAGGCGCAGATCGTATTTCCTGTCCTTCCCCGTTCTATAAATAAACTTGTCCGGGTTCTCGTGACAGTTGGCCGTCTCCTGGGAGTCCCACTGAACGCGCACCTGTTGAGAGTTATCCAGGACTTCTATAACAGTTCCAACATTTCCTTCTCCTCCATCTTCATCTCCTTTATCCCAATCCACTCCACGAACTACACGTAATCCCGCTTTTGTTTTTTCTGGAAAATATCACAAACTATCAAAGATATACATTCATCGTCAAGCCATCTTTAATGAATGTTTTTTGCCATTTACAGAACGACTGACCAAAAAAAGCCCAATTCAAAACTTTATTGAAACATTCAGGAAACGATTAATGTTTTATTAAATCCAGGATTTTATCATCTGACAAAAACACATGTTGAAAATTTCTTTTCAGAAATGTTCCTACCTAGCATTTTTGTTTTATCCAGAGTCGGGAGACAGCAAGCAAATTTTTATTTAAAAAAAATGGTCTGAGTTTACATTACTTAACTTTGATTTACTTTATCATCTTAAATAAAGGTCCCAAGGAACTTAGATATTGTACTCTAATGATTTAACCCAAGAGATCCCTTCATCTAAAAACTTGGTTTTACAATTAGCATTCTAATTGATTATTATCATGCTATGATAATCAGGCACCATTGCACTTTAATGGCAAGAAAAAATAGTTGGGATTTTTTTTTGGCGATATTGATGATTATTTTTCATAAAAATAAGTTTCCCAAATAGTATCGCGTAAATAGGGAATTCCATGCAGGAATACATTCTAAAAACTATGTTTATCGAACGTTTTAATTTTTTTTTTACCTCTTTGACATTATATCTCCATTATATCTACTCAAGTCTGATTGAATTATCTGGTAGTCAGCGGAAAAGTCCTAAATAGTTAAAGTCCTAAAACTGTGATTTTCTGGATTTGGAGTAAAAGAAATAATTTACCTGAGATTTTCTAAGAATTTCTTTCTATACAATTTACAATATAGATAGATAAGTACCTAAATTCCCAATAAAGCTGAAATAGCTTCTTTCAGCTCAATTAATTGCAGCTGAATTCTTGAACATATGCTGGTTATCCCTGTCGCCTTTTTTTTTCAAATTCATTTTCGGCCGGTGTATAATAAATAAATTTGGATAAGGTGTTCGTTACTCTGGGCACTGAACTAAAATATTGCGTAATAAAGGTTTATCTACCCATGTTTTTCTTTTAACGATTTTGAGCAAATCTATCAACTTTGGATGGAACAACAATGATCTCTACAATATTGGTTACAAAGTTATGTATTGATCGCGCACAGGATGATGCCTGATTGATGATGTCATACTCCAGCGAGGTGATTCCAGATACGTAACTTATTTACCAAGGGGTCGTAATATAAAAGGTACTTCAGTGTAAGACCATGCTCAAAGAGTACTACCTTAGATTTAGTCGGTAACTAGAAGAGTCCTAAGATTTGACAATCTACGAAAAAACTTAGTTATAACTTAGAGTTATTTTAAAACTAGATAAGCATGTGTATACGTGGTAATGCTAAAAGGTTTTAATATTTAAATTGAAAGACATAGTGTTTAGAGGATATACAAATGATTTATTGCTTTATAGTTGTACCATATAAAATACAAATATTACATAAAATGATTACGTTTAAAATTATTGATCTTGTATTTCACATAAAAATATATTGTCTCTGTCATATCTTTTAAACAATTTAAAGCATTCATGATTTATTATTGATATGTATAGTTTTATTAGGACTGTTTTTGAACTACAAATAATTGGTAGTACTTTTTAATGAGACAGCAGCTTTATATTTTAATGATATTACGTAATAAAAAAAAGTTGTCTTGAAACACCTACCTCTATCAAAGTAATCAATGATTTCCATTCCAGCAAAGGTGCAACAGTTCTGCACAATGTCGTGTACCGAATAATGATCTTGGATATCCTAATAAAAACAGAACTATGCAATGAGTAAGATATGACGTTTTAAAAAAAAAATATTTCAACAATGAAAACAAGTACATGTATATTAATATGATGGAATAATACCAAAGGCATACCCCTGCATTCTTTTCTGCATTATCATTGTCACTTTCTTCCGATGAATCTGATGGACTGTCATCAACATCAGTTTCCTGCAAAAGAAAAAGAAACATTGCTGTGGACTGATTCCTTTCCGGGCTTCATTTTTGAGGATAAAATATAATATGCAGATTTTGAAAAGTTTTATACCTTGTGATATAATTCTTTCAAAAAATTTAAAAATCATAAATGATGATTCATAAATAGCTTAACATGATGATTGATGCATAAGAGATACTTCTACTTTCTTGGATACCTCAGGTATTTAGTGAAATGTTTTCATCTAAACGTGCCCATAGTTACATCATTAAAAAAAGGAACATGTGCCACAACGCTTATATGAGAAGTATTGGTCTTGTCCTTTTTAGAAGACATTTTAATGGATTTTCTACTCTTTTTTGCCATCAATCTTATATGACTCTATTTTTTAACCACTGGCCAAGTCCCAAGGGGCCATGGTATAACATTCCACACAATATAGGGATGTTTAAGTATCAGAATAAAATTGTTTTGCTGTCCTTGAGATAAAGATTTGTTACTGAAAAATCTCCTGTATATATTTATTGTTTAATTTTCTGTATACGCCTCGCTCTCGTCGTAGGGTACTTAACCTCAACCTATTTTGCTTAATTATCTCTCTTGTATCGCATGTGGTTCTTCCTTTTTACAATTCTATACCTTCTGCCCATATATTCTAGCAAAAAAGCCGGAAATTTATTACGTTTTATAGACTATCAGACAGATTGACGGTTATTAGACAACAGGTGATCAAATCAGTTATTAGGTAAGGCGAACTTCAGACCTGTTTTACCATATTGTTGTCTCTCAGTATTTTGTATTAGATTTGTCAGTGAGATTTGACATTTTCCCGTAAGATTTCACTTTCCTTCGAATTTACACATATTACTATAGAACAACTATATTTTTGATTACCAAAACATTGTTTACTAACAAAGAAAAACATCATACCTTGCTTTCTTTCGAGGGGTTTCTGTCATTTTTTAAACCACCGCGTTTTGGCAACCCAACATCACATTAGTGTTTGAAATCTTTCTCTTCTTTAGTGATTAAAAAACAAACTGAGACAGATCATAATGAAATCTAACTGCTGAAATCCAAACGAATAGATTTCTGATTTCCGTATTTTCATTAAAGCAAAACGTGAGACGTATTTTGGACTCAAAATCCGTATAAAATACGGCGAAATCGTAAGAGTAAACAGGTCTGGAACTTAAAAGAAAACAGTACCACGAAGACATAGATTTCACAACTTTGGTAGGCGACTCAATGTTCATCATAATAAAGCAAGACGCCAAAAGGATAACCTGCTGGGTTAAAAGGAATTAAAGAAGAAATTTCCAGAGACACGTATTATGCATTCCCAATATATTACTAGCTCACAACTGCTATTGGACCTAAACAAATCACCCTTAGCCTGTCATGGTTAAAAAAAAACATGAATTTTTTTCAGGTAGAGACTTTTGAGTGAGGATTTAAAAAGTGTTCAAACACGTAAATACAAGGCACGACGATTGACTGAAAGGAACAATGTTTGGACTTCGGAGTAGGCCATGCAACTTAAAAAATAAAAACACAAGTATATTGGTAGTAAGGGTCCTCATTTTTCTTGAAAGGTATAAGAATATTTTCTACAAAACCAGGAATAAATTGAATGGTGATTCCCGGAATACCCAACTCATTTAGAACAAGATGTATTTGTGAAACACTGATGCCTCCGTAAGGCAGCTTATGGCGAAGGTTAAAGTTTCTCAAATGCAAGTCAAACTCCAAGGTCAAGAGATAAAGAAATGATGTTACCCAAAGAAAGGCCTAAAGTTTGTCTCAGGGAATATAACTGTGAAATATGAAAGCCCTAGAACCAACCCTTGAAAAGTTGTGGCGAAAGTTCAAGTATTTTGAAAAGTAAGACATATGTCAAGGTCCAATGGGCAAAATTAATGGTGCCCAAGGAAAAGTCTTGTCACACGAAATACATATATGAAATATGAAAGCCCTTGCAACAATCATTCAAGATTATGGAATTGGATAACGTTTTTCATAAGTAGGTCAAAATTCAAGGTCAAGGACAAAAAGTCAGAATTATTGGTACTCAAGGTAAGGTGCTCTCACAATAAATACATATATGGAATATGAAAGCTCTAGCATCAACTGCTCAAAAGATATGGCCAATGTTAAAGTTTTTTTAAAGGTAGGTCAAACTCCAAGGTCTAGATCAAAGGCTCAATATTATTGATATCCAATGGAAGGCCTTGTCACAAGAAATACACCTGTGAAATATGAAAGCCCTAGTTCTCATCAATCTAATTCAATTTAGATGCTCCGAATCCGTTACCGCTTCTCAAACATCTAACAACATCCCATTTGGGGTCACGTTAAAGAGACCTTTCGATTATGAATAAATATAAAAATTTTGGCCAATCAGATTCAACCTTCTGTATACGATTCTAAAATTAGTTACACGGCTACATCTTAACATTATTGATGTTCAGTAGACTGTCTTACGTTGAATTAAAGTAATTTTGGTATAAATTGAACGTATAGTCCGCCAATCTGGCATTCTTACCTGAATAACGCAAAAGAAACTGCACAAACTATACGTCTATATATCCCGCACGTCACATTCATATATATCAAGCCTGCACAGTATTTACTATGCATATTTTGTTTACTACGAAACCCCTCGGGCGTTTAGGTTTGGCAGTGAAAAAAGAAACGCATCCGAACTATAAGCCAAAATTTCGGAGACGGCGATTTCACTGGGTGATCGAAAGGTGACGTGACCCCGAATGGGCTGTTGTTAGATGTTTGAGAAGCGGTAGCGGATTCGGAACATCTAATTTTAATTAGATTAAGTTCTCATCGTTCAAAAGTTAGTGCCAATGTTAAACTTTTAAAAATGGGTCAAACTCCAAGGTAAAAAGGTCAATAATATTTATACCCATAGAAAGGTCGTATCACAAGGAATGTAGATGTGACGTATGAAAGCCCTAGCTCCAGCTGTTCAAAAATTAATGCCAAGGTTAAAGTTTGGTCAAATTTTGCAAAAGTGGGGCAAACTCCAAGGTCAGGGTCAAGAGGTCAAATATGTGGAACCAAAAGAAAGGTCTTGTCATAATGAATACACATGTAAAATATGAATTCCAGAGTTCCAACAAAAAGTTATGGCCAAGGTTAAAGTTTTTGCGGACAAACAAACAGACAGACAGACGGACGTACAGTACAAAAACTATATGCCCCGAATCTTCGATTAGGGGGGCATAAAAATTCCTGATCAAGTCCATGTACATATTATTACAAATGACAAGTGTTGTCCACGAGAACATGGTTAACCGGTTAACAGTCGAAAGATGTATATATCAGTTAGTAAAACGCCTACTCAGTTACTCGGATATATCCACATTTTCCAAAGTATATCAGTGGGAAAAAATGGAACATGCATAAATGCCCCACCCCTTTATTTACTGTTAATACGTTCCTCAAATATCTGTTTTGTATGTCTTCGTTATGTATGAAAAATATTCAAAATTTTAATTACTTTATTTCTTAACCGGTTTCTGATTGTCTTTAAATTTAAAACACTGAAAAAATTGTCAAATAAATGATATTGGCAAATAAAGTTTTCTTTCCAAAAGGGTTTATATAGCAAACACCATCCTCTGGTATCTTGCACAAACGCCTGGTAAGTAACTCAATTTTTTGTAATTTTTTTTGTTAAAGTAGCAATACTTTAATGACAAAATCTTGGAAAATATTATATATTATGAGAAACGTATCATCTGTCCTTAACTTAGACACGAAGCTTTTTCTTTTCAAATACGTACAAGTTCGATATGTATTGGTTAGTTTTTCACAGTTTATCCACTTGATGGCTATGAATGCCCGGGGGTATTCAAGTTCTGAAGACTTGAGTAAAATATAATTGCCTCTCATTAACCTGTGCTAGTCGGCGAAGATGCCGTCAAAAGCATGGGAATATGTTTAAAAGAATGGCTGATTTTAATCCCCTAAGGTGTAATTTTTTAAAATGGCATTTAACTTACGCGGGTGGGGCAACAAATATGCTAAAACACTTCAAATTGAATTTTAATTCTAAAACTAGCGATATATAAGGGAGATCCCGCAAAACAGTCACCTATTTCGGAGTGTTTTAGAACAAACTTTAGAAGATAATATGTGTTTCTTATTGAAAATAAAGTTCATATGCAGAGAATAAATGTTTTATATACATATAGGAATATAATACGTGCAGTTATTATTGAATATACATGTACACCTCGCGAGCAAGGATGCAAGAAGACTAAAGAATAAACCATCCGAGTAACCAGTTACTCGAACGGAAAAGTAAGCGATAACCAGTTACTTAAAGTCTCTCGATTTGACAACATTACTAATGATAAAGGCTTCGCCGAAATTTGTGCTCTGTACAGAGACATTTGTTTCGGTAATGGGGCTTACATAATTACCAAGATTAATTTGCTAAAAAAGTAAAAAGTGCATTTTTATGTACAGAATGTAAATTATAGTCATACCTTTTCAGCGAGGTCTGTAACATCTTCTGACTGCATTCCCTATAAGATTGTGAAGTAAAAGTAAAACAACAAAGCATTGTTTGTTTGTTTATTGTAATTTAACGTCCCTCCCGAGAATTTTTCACTCATATGGAGACGCCACCACTTGCCGGTGGAGAGCTGCAAATTTTGACCTATACTCGGCACTGAGGGCCATTAAGCAGTGAGGAACTTTTTCGTGCCAGCACCTACTGCGACACGGGACCTCGGTTTATACGGTCTCCTCAGAAGGACCGGTCTCCACGTCCCACAGTGGGATTCGAACCCGCGCATAAGGATCAACTCCTTACTCCGCGACTCTAGAACAAACGCTCTAACCACTATGCCAAGCGGGCGAATAAAAAAGCATTGTACGAAATAAATCTAAAGTACAAGTTTTACAAAGTTTAGGCACAATTATGAATACATTTAAGACACGGATAAAATATATGCAGAAGGTGAATATTCCTACAATTACTGGATAATGCTTTACGTTCACCTGAATACATCTCGTCCAAAATAAGGAAAATTGAATTAGGAACGTCCTTTCGGATATTTAATGATACGATTTTAACATCCTTTTCACATAATATTCATATATATTTTACGCAAATATATTGTGGTTAAAATAAGACATGCAGTCAGAGAATTTAATTAACCAAGGAGAATACGCTCTTATGTGTAAAGTTAAGAAGAAGCCCACCTCCAACCCCCCCTTTAAAAAAAAATATGCTATTTAACTGATAATAATCAAAATTGTTGATAACCTATTGTCTCTATTTTTTTACTTATATTTTAATTTCTTTTTTATCTTATGTATTTTTAATGAATTCTAATTATTCAAAATTCTGACTCACAGGATACAACTGCCATAGAGTTAACTGACAGAGATCTGCCATTCGGCCACCTTTACAGACATTTCAGTGACCATACAGTTTCCTAAATGGAACAGTTTTATCCTGTGACCCGCCTGGGGCCCCTGGTAATAGGATTTTTTTTATGTGCCCATTCTGTTTTATATGTAAAAAAAAATTTAAACTTTCAATGTGGAAAATTTTCTTCTCGTAATCTGAATTAAAATTCATTACTTTATAATATAATAGTCTGTAATCTTTCGTGTAATTTATTTAATTTTTAATTTCATAGAAATAGCATGACATTCCTAGATACCTGAGAGATGTCAGCAGAACTCATTTCTATCGTGATCCCCTCTGTGTCCATCGTCAACTGTAAACAGATACATGTAAATAAATTCAAATATTTGGGGGGGGGGGGGGGGTATTTTGAGTATGATTTTCTTCAAAGAACATGAAATTTCTCTACTTGTTAAAAGTTCAAGGGCAGAAGACAGAGCTTACCGCCAAAAAAATATATACATATCTAAAAAAAAAAATGAAAGACTAGGCTTTCCTTCTTCTTTCTCCTATTACATACTTCCTCATCTTCTTTCTAACATACTTATTTGATGTATATGATTTAGTATAAGCATATCTACACTATACTCAATCAAAATAACTCGAAAGGCCAATGGGCCACAAAGTTCACATTTCTGAACCCTCCAGTTCTTCAAAAAAAAAATTCTTCCCTTTTATAAATCATTACACAAATTTTACACCTATAATTATATACCGTACAGCGGCAATCTCTAAGACTTAACAAAACTGAAAATGATATCGTGTATTTTTGCTAAGTTAACGTGTCTAATAAAAAATCCTCAAAAAGAGGGGGGGGGGGGGGGTAAACACCAAACATTCATCAGGTGCCTGTGGAAAGAAAAAAAACTCTTCCTGCAGTTTGAAAATAAAATCGGTAATAAATAAATGATGAGACGTAGTCTAAACTATGGGGAGATATAATTATGATATATTTTAAAGGTGCATAGACACAGATTTAAAGTTAATATTTTCTCAAATTTTCTGCATAATATCACAACTTCCATGTTGCTGTAGCATTTCACACGAAAATAAAATTAAAATCTTATTTAATCTGGAAATTATTGAAACTACGAATTTCGGGAGGCGTTTGCTTAACACATCCTCGCACTTTCACAATTTTTAACTTTATCCTTAATACTTAAGATAAGTAGTAATTTTGTTGTGTATTAATGAATAATATTACATCTTTAATCCAGACAATTCAGAGTAAAAATGTGCGAAAGCAAAACCCACTCACTTACGTATTGTCAGCCCGTGCTCAGTGTTGTGTAGTTGTGTACAGAGTTAAACAAATTGAATACACCCGTTAAACGTAAACTATTTTTGAAAACAGGGCACGAGCTCTATTGTTGTTAATGTTTACGTTTCACCGGGTGTGTTCAATTGTTAAACTCTGCACACACCACTGAGCACGGACTGACAATACTGGTGAGAGGAGTTTGCTTTCTACATTTCTACTCTGAAATTTCTGCATTATAGTTTTAATATTTTTCATTAATAAACAACAAAATTGCTACTTTTCTAAAAGTAATAAAGTTAAAATTTGTGAAAGTGCAAGGATGTGTCTATCAAACGCGTCCAGAAATTCGAAGTTTCAATAACCTCCATATAAAATAAGATTTGTATCAAATTTTCGTATGAAATGCTATAGCAACATATGTCATGAAATTATACAGAATATAAGTTTGAGTAAATAATAACTTCAAAACTGTGTCTAAGCACCTTTAAAAAAAGATACGATCTAGCACTGAAATTTATCACCGCCACCTGACGAATAGTTGGTGTAAAACACCTCCCATCCTTCTGAGAATTTTTATAAGACACGATAACGTAGCAAAAATTCATGAATTACCAGTCTGTCATCCTATACTCCGATATCTTGTATGAATTTCAGTTTTTGTTCAGTTTTTATCGTGTCTAATAAAACTTCTCAGAAAAAAGGGGGGGGGGCGTGCCAAACATTCATCGGGTGCCTTTGGTACGCATAAATTTCCTTTAAAAGCTATTTTGAAGTATAAACATAAAATTTCAAAATGTTATCACAGTCACCAGTATAAGAAAACATTGACGTCGCCCGGGAAATAATTGAAGTAAAATCTTGATCATCAAAACCGCTTAGATTTGTGTAATCAAGGCAAACGTCTGAATGATGGAGACTATAGTCGAAAAAAAATTACGGAAAGTCTCTAATCGGATGTAAATCAAACAAAAACGATACCGTTTTAAACTTTGTCATTTCCTCAAGTAACTGTTGGCTGTCTAAAGTATAAATTAGAATCAGAAACATGTATCATCTGTCATCGAAAAAATATTTGACTTGATGAATGTAAAACACACAAACTGTCTAAGGTACGTTCTTATGCGATAAATAAAATTTAATGTTCTAAACAAGAGGCCTAAGGGCCTTAACGGTCACATGAGTATAATAGAACAATTTAGAGGATCCATAGATACAAAATGAACTGAAAGGTGAAGCTTTGTTGCCCAAAAGCAAGAAAAATAGGGTGATCAGGATCAACAAAATAATTAGTCTAGCATTCATTACAGTTCATAAATTAGGTTCTAATCTGTTCCCCATACATCACTATCACCATACAGTATATTAACAAACTGTCAGTGCTTCTGTACTATCTTAATTCCTTGTTGAAATCTGTCACATTGGCCTCTCTTGGTCTCTGATGAACATTTAAGAAGACAAGTTATTTTTGTCTCATTTTTATTTATCTATTACTTAAAAGTCTACCTGATCATTAAAACTATGAAAGTACTTTCTGTACTATACAAACAGCAGTTTCAGAGAAGAAGCTGAAAATGTTCAAATGTTAACCCACGACGGACGAAAACAGATAGCAACAGGTCACCTGAGTGACTCAGATGACCTAAAAAGGTGACTTGTCGTTTTTTCGGTAGTAGATAAGCAAACTTTGTATATTACATATAAAAACATATATATTTTTAATGATGTACTCCATGGAAGTAAATATATTGTGTATCTCGTAATTTATTAAGTGATAAAACATTCTGAAGTATCATATTTTTAATGTATACTTAACTTTTAAATCTGAAAGACTTCTCCCACTTCAATCCCATACACCAACACTTAAACTTATATGTACAGAGCAGCCCGGTCCTTCGGGTTGCAATAACTATATACGGATAGGTTAATCACAATGAACATCTTAAATGTCAAACACAATAACATGGATACAAGAAAAATGGTTTAATTCAAATTTATAAACTGAAGCGAGTATATATATACTACTTTATTTCGCCATTTCATTTATATCAAAGAAAACATTTTAAATTTAGGCTTTTCATGTTTTATGTAAAACTGCGTTACAAGGATTTCAACGCAATATAAGTAGGTCACATGTTATTGGAGTTGACGTGCAGCGCAACGCAAACACGTAATCTTTAAATAGTTACCAGAATCCTCCGGATTACTATGAAACATGACATTGCATGTGTCGGCTAAATTATAGGATATTATTTTCTTTTTAAATACTCATTTAAAAGAAAATTTGGGGTTTGGTAAATATATCGAGTTGTATAACAAACAAGCTACGAATTAATACAAGAGAACTTCTGTACTGCATTAAAGGACGTATATTATGAAATGAAAGAAGATTTGTTAGTAGGTATTTAGAAGTAATGCTGTGTTTTACTTCAATATGCACCAAACCCATTTTCAATCGGCATACATGTAGGTTTAATTTTGAAAATGAACAATTTTTCCAAAATTTCCTGATTTTAATTTAAATACGAGTGTATTCATTTTTTTTCTTTTTATATAATCAATATTTTTTTTTTGAGGACTTTATCGCCAGATATAAAAAAAAATATTTTCATACAAACACACACATATATATATATATATATATATATATATATATATATTATAAAAAAAAAACTAAACATCTACCTGATTCTTCTTGACATAATTAGTTATTTATATCGTGCATTTATCTACAGCAGTTTTAAAGCTCTAAAATCTTGTTTTTTGGAACCAAAATTTTTTTTTCCATTTTCACGAAAAAAATTAAACTTTTATCAAGATTATACTGGTCTTTAAATGAAAAAAAAAATCAGATTAATGTAGCCCCTATCCCTTCCCAACACAGAGCTATATTGCTATTACTCATAGAGATAGAGAGCTTTTTTGTTATATCTTCTCTAAAAAAAATTTTGGTAGAAAATGGTACCACGTACTATAGAAACCTAGACGTATTGATATAGATTAAACAAACTAAGTCACATGCATACAAAATAATGCCCACATCTTGAGCATAATATAAAGAAATACAGCTCAAAAAATTTCTGACTATTAAATAGTCCTTTGAATTTTGAATTAAATGCTGCGATTAAGATTTTACTAAACATTTAAGATTATTTTTACATTGGATCTAAGTACCTATAACGACACCTGTTTTGAATACTAAATATTACAGCTTACCAGTAGTTGTTTGTCATCTTTTACAAGCCTAGATATTTAAAAAAAAAAAAAGGAATTCGTCGAACCAGTATTTAAAGGTATGGCTTGCGATTGAGAGACAACTATTTACTCAGGTAAATCAAGTTTCAGTGGAGTGCACCCCGCTGTCATTTACTCAGTCGAATTTACATTTTTTTTTCTCGACGAATGGAACAAGGTATATTGGACTTTAACATAAATAATTACCAAAAAATTCAAGGTCTTTACCTTTTTCAATGGAATCAAATCCGACCTCTAGTGATATAAATGCATTTAAATAACGTTTTGAAATATTCAGTCATTTTCACCATTTATTTACAACAATAACAATTATCAGAAAGAATATATGTTTTCTTTACGAATTCAAATTCCTTTTGGATTTTATCGCTTAAAGTTAAAGCTCTAAAAGATCGCCAACTGTAAATAAAGAAAAGGATCATATGTCACTTCTGCATAATCAATAGCAAAATAACTTTTCTAAAACTAGATCAATGAATATTTTTGGCCAAAAGGACACGATAATTTAGGTTTCTTAAAAAATAATACACAACAAAAACAATAAAGACTCAAGCTTTAAAACAAGGGTTTCAAAGCATTTGTTTAACTTATCAAAATATAATTAGGATCTCAGTTATGTGGATCTTATTTGTAAAAAGAAGTCTGACACGGTCTGTAAGGGTCCGGATAAGGTTCATTTTTCGGACATGGAAGTTACGAAAATTGAAAAGCACGGTGTTTTCTTAAAATGACAAAACAGATGCATTCTGAGAAAAAGTGCTGACTTAAGTCCAGACACACAGCGAAAGTGATTCGAT